TTGAAATTTTAATAATAAAAGTTTTAAAAAAGAAAGTCATGAGTTCATATTGTTTCCAATTTACAGTCAACTTTGGCTAAGTCCTTAGAACATCTTCTTCTGGGATCCCTGGGTGTCACAGCGGTTTGGCGCCTGCCTTTGGCCCAGGGCGCGATCCTGGAGACCCGGGATCGAATCCCACGTCGGGCTCCTGGTGCATGGAGCCTGCTTCTCCCTCTGCCTATGTCTCTGCCTCTCTCTCTCTCTCTGTGTGACTATCATAAATAAATAAAAAAAATTAAAAAAAAAGAACATCTTGTTCTAGTATAAGGTTTTTCAGCCCTTTCTCTTCTCTGTTGTTTAGAATATCTCCTTACCAAGTATTTTAATTAGATTTCCTAACTTTTCAGTAGCACAAATGGATGTATGCTACTTATATGCTTTCTCTTTTTCCCTCCATTTTTTTTAAGATTTTATTTATTTATTCATGAGAGAGAGAGAGAGAGAGAGAGAGAGAGAGAGACAGACACACAGGCAGAGGGAGAAGCAGGCTTCCTGCAAGGAGCCTGATGTGGAACTCGATCCTGGATCCCGGGATCATGCCCTGACCTGAAGGCAGATGCTCAACCGCTGAGCCACCCAGGCATCCCCCTCCATTTCTTTTATAATCTCTTTGTCCATTATTCTGTAGTCACTTTGTTGACAAATACAATAAATGGTCAGAAATTCAAATTATAAAGTTCAGTTTAGTTCAGGTAACAAATACTTATTGGGCATTATTTTTTTTAATAGGCACTGTGCTAAATGCTTAGGATTCCAAAACAAACTGTAGCGTCCATTCTTTGGGAACTTAGAATCTAGTGTAGATTTCTCAGTTGGGTTCTGCAGATGCCGTTAGGAATTCTGTGAGAAGTCACTAGGAATTCAAAAAAAAAAAGAAAGGAGAAAATTTTTAATTTTTTTGACTTTCCTCCTCCATGCAATGCTAGTACTTGCAGTAATGAAAAGTGATCAAGCAGCTCTGTTAGTAATTTTGCTAGAGATTTTTCAGCTATATGGCAGTGTCTGCATGACTATGTCCATTTGGTAGAGTCCACTCTGTTTTTGATGTGAGATAGGGGATGCTATTGATAATTAGTGACTGCTGAATTGTACTGAGAGGGTAGTGATAGGCTGATGGCATCAGCTTCTCCCTCTTGAACTGTATCTCCTTATCCTCCCCCAGCTTCTCCATACCCACAGCTACCAGAGAGCAAACAAACTTTCCCTGATATGATTAAAAAAAAAAATCAAGGAGTAAATTCTAAGTAAAGCTATGACTCAGATGCTTCCCTGTTTTGTAATTTTGTGATTGCAAAACATGGAGCTTGTCATTAAGAGTGAATTATAAAGATTTCATTTTTCCTTTCTGATTTCCTTGTGTAGTTTTCTTGTTTTACACTTTGTTAGAAACTGTTTTACAAACACGACTTAAAGTCCAATGTGATGACCTCAAGGTCGTGAGATTGAGCCCCACGTACTCAACCAATTCAACAAAGTCATATAAGGAAAAAATGTCTCCTAAGTAGGCTAGTTTCTGCAGCCATTCTTGATCTTCAAAGAATTTGGCAAAATCTCGCCTATTTTCTTGGAAGTATTACCACAGTCCACTTCTCAGCGCAAACATCCTGTTTGCGCTGAGAACCAAAATCTGTATTAGTTTTTCTTATTGTGTAACAAATTAGAAACAAAATCTGTATTAGTTTCTCTTATTGTGTAACAAATTAGATTGATAACAATGATAGAGGAGAGTACTCAGAGGTCTGAGTCCAAAGATTCAGAAACCAAGGGTATGGTGCTATCATGAAGACTAACAGGGAACTGGAATGACGCACAATTTGGGAAGAATAAGAGATGAGGGGTGGGACCGAAAAGGACTGAAAACTCTGAGACTCTAGGGTTCTACTTTGTTCCTCTAAGTGGCTGAAGTTACTTCACGTCTCTGAATGTTACTTTCTTGCTGTCAAGAAGTAAAATAAAGGGGTACCAGGTAATCCTGAAGGTCTTATAAAACTTCAATAATTTTTATCACAGTGAGTTAGAAATAACAGTGGACCCCAAATGGAGCTAAACGCTGAACATAAAAGTTAAATGAAGCAAAGCAAAATAGAGCAGGGCAGTTATGAGTAATATTCTTCATAATATACAGTATTTATTTATTTATTTATTTTTTTTAATATACAGTATTTAAAATACATTTAGCAAATATGAATAAAAATACATTTATCAAGTTCCTTTTATATGTAGGCTTCTTAGGGGCTTAGAATAGTGCAGAAGACATATTGTGATTCCTAGTGATGAGGGAACAGAAGGCTAGCTGAGAACAAAGCACAAGCTCACACCCTGCAACACCCCCCTTCCACTCCTGGGTGGGAATATATGTGACTTTCCCCCAGGAAGTTCCCAAGTATCTTAATGTTAATGCCCTGCTAGAGTAAAAACAACCTTAACTTTGATGTAGGAATGAGCGGCAAATGGGGCTAGGCAGGGAAAGTTAAGGGAAAGGCTGAGAATCAAGCTCCCAGAAATCTGTGGGTTCCCATAAACGAAAGGTCCAGAGTCAGGCTCCCACACATCCCAAGAAAACAGGGGCTTTAAGACAGTAAAAACAGAGAAAAATAATAAACCTGGCTTCCTAGCTCCAAAATGTTGGGGAGTATCTCCCTTTGATGGTTACTAAGTAATCACGGAAACTCACCAGACCACAAAGAAGTCAGTCATTATGGTGTTATCAATACTCTCTGATCAATCCAAGACTGCACAAGAATCTCAAGGCCATTGGGCTCCCTGGCCCGTTCTCAATCAAAGACTGCCACTAAAAGCCCTGTGGCAATCCTGTGGGGACCCCTCTGGCTTCTGAGAGCTTTCTCTGTACCTCTGCTTACTAAACTTTTATCGCGTTGCTCACTCTCTATTGTCCATGAGATTCATTCTTCAACTCCATGAGGCAAGAACCTAGCTCTCTCATATCAACTTGACAACTGCAAGGCCTCCAGTATCTTACAGGTCCTCCCCAACATAGGGAAATCTTTTTGAAACTTCCCTTTTCCTTACCTTCAACTCCCAGGTATATAATCAGCCAGCCAGCCCTCACTAGCCCTGGGCAGCAGCACTCTTCCTGCCCGTGGGTCCTGCCCCCAAGCTTTAAAAACACAAACAAACAAACAAAAAAAAGCAAACAGAAACCCCACCACCACCACCATTTTGCACCAAAGACGTCTCACGAATTCTTTCTTGGTGGTTGGCTCTGGACTTCACCCCAGCAAACCTCACCTATATTTCCAAAACTACATCACTAGTATTCCCATAGCGAAGTTCACAAAGTTCTCTCCCAATTACATCAGCCCTCTGAAGCAGGTACCAATCCCCACCCTTTCAAAGAAGAGGAGGTGGACTGTGTCAAATACCAAAGGAAGAAGGTTTCAAAAGATTCCAGTATAAAAGAGACCAACCAAATTTAACAAATAGGAGATCACTAGCTTTCCTTGGTAGAGAAATCTCACCGGAAGCTTAAATTAGGTATTAAAGTCTTAAAGGAAAAAAAGGATAGAGGGGCTTGTAGCATAGATGGTCCACGGCCCGTGTCAGTGCTCAAAACCTACTCTCCAGGGACCCCTGGCTGGCTCAGTCAGAAGAGCCTGCCACTCTTCCGCTCCCAGCTGTGAGTTCGAGCCCTATGTTGGGTGTAGAGATCACCTAACTAAAAGGTTAAAAAAAAAAAAAAAAGTACTGACAAATTAAATAAACTATTTGGCGTAAAAGATAAAAATACAGCTTAGGGCAGCCCCGGTGGCTCAGCAGTTTAGCGCCGCCTTCAGCCCAGGGGGTGATCCCGGAGACCCGGGATCGAGTCCCACGTCGGGCTCCCTGCATGGAGCCTGCTTCTCCCTCTGCCTGTGTCTCTCATGAATGAATAAATGAAATCTTTAAAATAATTTTTTTAAATACGGCTTCGTTTTTTGTTACCTAAAATATACTTTTAAAGAAAAAACATTTTTATTTATTTTATTTTTAGAAGAAACATTTTTTTTAAATTTTTTTTTATTTATTTATGATAGTCACACAGAATGAGAGAGGGAGGCAGAGACATAGGCAGAGGGAGAAGCAGGCTCCATGCACCGGGAGCCCGACGTGGGATTCGATCCCGGGTCTCCAGGATCGTGCCCTTGGGCCAAAGGCAGGCGCCAAACCGCGGCGCCACCCAGGGATCCCAGAAGAAACATTTTTTAAAGAACACACACGCACGCACTTTCCCCTTCCTTTAACGAAGTGTAACGACAGGACAAAAGAACCGCCACAGGTCACCTCACAGTCGAGCTTACTTCAAAAGGTCCGGAAGAAACACACGCGCTCAGAAGAACGCAGGAAGCCCTGCGCGGCTTGCGACCCCACCAGATCCACCCCAGGGTACAGCGCAGCTGCAAACGCAGAGATGGGGCAGTACAGTTGCGGGGGCTGGCGACGAACTAACGAACGAGGAGACCATTCTGCAGCCTGAGAAGCCAGGGCTCCCCCCCAGCTTCCAGCCACCTGGAACCGCCAGGTCCCCGGGAGAGGGGGGCGGAACTCTCACGCCAACCATCTCCCGGGGCAACAGCGCGGCCGCACTTCCGGCAACTTCCGATTCAACGGACGCCACTATTATACGTCATTTCCTCCGCTCCTCCGTAGGCAAACGGACGTGACAGCCGTAAACTACTGTTTGACGGTGGGTAGTATTGCCGCTCTTCCAGCGCTGAAGGCTGTTTTGGAAATGTGACAGCGCCCCCGGTTCTGCCGGTGACTGGCTTTTTTGTAAATCAGTCGTTCGAATTTCTTGTCGCTCCCCGCCACCTTTGTGCGGGTACGGTGGCCGAGGAGGCTCGTTCACGGCGGAAGTACCGGGCTGGCGGGTGGGTGGCGGCAGCGGGGCCGGAGGGGCACGTGGCTCCGGTGCGTTGCGGTAGCGAGCAGAGGGGTCTGAGGATGTCTGGACGCGGGACCCAGCTACGGAGGGAGGGGGGAAGGAAGGGAATGTGGCGTGAAGACCTTTCTGCCTGCTGGGGGAGGAGATACTGAGCGGGGGCGGAGAGGCTGGTGAGCGGTCGGTCCGCGCGCACAGGGCAACGGGAAGGTGACACTCCTCACCCTCGGGTTCATCTCTGGCGGCTTGGCCTTGGGTGAGGTGGCAAGGTTGCTGTACGTATTACTGTCCCGCTGTACGATGTTCTGACCGTGGCACAGAGGGTGGTGGACCCAGAGGCCTCAATGACCAAAAAGATACGTACTGTTTTTCTTACCAGGTAGAGTAAGCATGTCTTTTCGAGGCGGTGGTCGTGGAGGCTTTAATCGAGGTGGTGGCTTCAGTCGCGGCGGAAGCAACAACCACTTCCGAGGTGGAGGCGGTAATTTCCGAGGCGGCGGTGGTGGTAGAGGAGGATTTGGACGAGGAGGTGGCCGCGGAGGCTTTAACAAAGGCCAAGACCAAGGACCTCCGGAACACGTAGTTTGTATGTCGGTTTCAAAGCTTAACGTACTTGGGGGGCGGAGGTTGTGGGTTTAAGTTTGGGAAATGAGCGTGCTGAAAGGTAGCTCTAGCAGCTCGCCTATGGAAGTTGCTGCTGGGTTGGGGAATCGGGTCTGGAGATGCTGTAAGCTGACTTACAATCGTGTTGTAGCGCTCAAATGTAAAGGGGAGATCAAGAAAGCAGAACAACACTTAGAATGCGTCGTGGAGGTGGAACTTGAGCTTGGGCTGAAAGGAAGTTATTAAGTAGGTAATACTGTGTGTTTATTCCTGTTGTCCCCGTTTCACAGGTAAGAAAACCGTGAGAGTTGAGTTTCTTTGCTAGGGTCGTAGTAATAAGTTTCTTTGCTGGCATCATATTAAGAAGTGATCCGTTTGAGCTACAAAGCCACGTTTTCTGACTCCAAAGCCCATGCTCTCCATTGCTTTTCATAAGTAAGAGAAGTGAGGAAAATTGCCTGTTAGGGAATCTACAGAGGGGAGGGAAGCCAAGGAAAAAACCTAATGAGAGTAGATTTGAAGTAATTATCAATGAGGTGGGATGGAAGTCCTGGGACGTGAGACAGATTTGATAGTAGAAGCCTACATCAAAAAGGAGAAGTGATGAAGAGAGTGCAACCTCACACTGGTTGGATCAGTGTGCAAAATGGTTTGAAGAGTGCAATGGCTAGAGTCATAGGTCCCAGCCCACAAGCATGCAACAGTCCGTGCATGATGCACTGTGAGGGTAGTCAAAGTGAGGAGAAAAAAAGGACAGGTTTGATGGGAGAGCGATTTCAATGGAAATAAATTCAGTAGAACTTGGCTAGTTCTTGGGAATAAAAGGTTCCAGGTTTGGATTTTGGGTGATAGGGATGAAGTATTGGTTTTGGAGGGATGTGATGAGTTTTTTAGTTTGGGGTGACGGTCAGAAATAAAGGTAGTTATTTTGGATTCCACACGTCCCTGAAAAAGAGTGAAGAGTCATTGGTAAAGAGGTGGTAGTAGGAAGTTATAAAAAGGGAGGAAAAAAGGAGAACAAAGACCGATTTACAGTTAGGGACCGGGGAAATGAAGAGACAGAATGTAAGCATGGTGTTTAATAATAATACTTATTGTTATAATAAAACACCTGTTATAGGTTGGATGGCCTTAATGTGCCAGGCACTTTTCTAAGCACCTGACATTTATTATTGTATTTATTCCTCATAGTAATATATATAGGGTGTTGGTATTGCTATTTGCCCTTATTAAGAATAGGACAGTGAATCAGAGAAAAGAATCTTACCCCAGGTCACAGAGCTAATGTGGAGTTTTTGGCTTTTTTTTTTTTTTTTTTTGCTTCAGAGAAGAACAGATAAGTGAAATCCCAGGTACCCAAGAAGAAAGCTTCCAGATGATGTTGGTCAATATCATTTGAAACTGTTTTATATTTTAACATTTTCTTGTCCTATTTCAGTATTAGGAGAGTTCCTGCATCCCTGTGAAGATGACATAGTTTGTAAATGTACTACAGACGAAAATAAGGTGCCTTATTTTAATGCTCCAGTTTATTTAGAGAACAAAGAACAAATTGGTAAGGTGGATGAAATATTTGGACAACTTAGAGATTTTGTATCCTTTTTCATTAGAAGACCCAGTGATCTCATTAAAAGGTTACCATTTGCTTTTTTCTGGAGCTAAGTATTGTTTTAATTAAACTTCTTGTTTTATTCATTTGGGAGAGAGTATTGGTAAGATTGTAACATAAAGGAGAATCAAGAGAAGAGAATATATTTCCCCATATTGAAAAGGAAGACTATAATAGAGTAACTTCCTTTTTGGAAGGTTTTAGAAGTGATTACCATTTGGATAAGTGCTACAGGATTAAGGTACTTTGCTTTGATTATGTTGATGCTACTGGAATAGCGTGGAACTAGAAGTTTTAAAGATAAAAACTTCATTTCCTCTTGGAAACTTATTTCTTACTTTTCCTAGATAATTTCCATATAGCTTTGTTTTTAAAATTACATAGGAATTCAGAAGGTTACCTCTTGTGATCTTAATTGCTTATTTCCTTAATGTAACTAATAGTATTTTTCTGTTAAATTGTCAGAAAATATGAAGGCATCTTCCTTTAAAAAACTGCAGAAGGTGAGTGAAGCTTCTGATAAGTAGGATCTTTGGTTTTGTAAGTAAATGACCTTCCTTAGGACAGTGCTACTTAGAGCACTTGAACCCTCCAGTATATCATTAGTGAAGCTCTTAAATTGATATGTTCTGTACTTTAAATGTTGAACTAACTGATCCATAAAAGTAATTTAATACAAGCTTTCAGAAATTACTCTTAGGCAAATTCTGTAACTGCTACAGTATGTTTTTTTGTTTATGTAAGATTCTTACTGAAAGCTTACATGACCAAACTTTCTAAATAAAGTGTTAAATTAGGAAACATTATTTGAGAGAAGTCAGATATTAAATGATTTCACAGATCTTTCAAAACATGATAAATGCTGTGAAGGAGAACTGCAGATTGCCATGAGGATGTTAGTAGTGGGACCATATTTAGTATATTGGCTTTCTGAGTAAACTAGAAGCCGAGACCTGGAACTTGATTAGAGGTGATTTCCAAACCTTGTTGCTCATCAGAATATCTAGGGGAGCTTTTAAGGTCATGTATTTCTTGGTCCCACTCTTAGAAATTGGAGCTGGTAAGTCCTCAGATAGGGACCAGGCTTCAATTGTAAAAAAGGCAGGCTCCTGGATAATTTTGATGTAATTAGATTAGCACTTGGGAACCACTGCTATTCAAACAGGTGGGAAGCACATTGTAAGTAGAGAAAACTGTACAAGTCTCTGAGACAGCCAGTTTAAGGATCTGAAAAAGGCTGAAGTGTAGCTTGGACATAGATCATTTAGGAGGGACTAGAGAGGTAGGCAGGGGCACGGTTACTAAGGCCTTAGGTCATGGGAAAGCGTTTAGTTTTAGTTTTGTTTTTAAATATTAGGATAAATACACTTAAATTATACTTAAAAAGAGCACCAGAAAAATTAAAGAGCACCCTGGAAAGGGGTTAGTACTGTATGTGAAGGGGCTAGGTCAGAGACTGTTGCATCAGTCCCAGAAGAAATGGTGTTTCGGACCAGGGTAATAATGACAGTGGAAATGGAGAAAAGTGGATGGATTTATGAACAATACAGGAAGTAGCATTGATAGATCTTGGTAGTTGATTAACAATTGAAGTTAAAAATATCACCATCTTTCAGATGTCTGATTTCAGATCTTTGTGGATGGTGTCACCATGTACCAAAACGGGAGACACCAGAGAAGAAGGAAATTGGGGGAAGATGATGAATTCACTTTTAGACATGATGAGTTTGAAGCACTTGTGAGATATTCACATAGGAGCTCAAAGGAAGAGCCTGGATTAGTGATGGGATTGCAGGTTGTCATTGTGCAGATAGTATATGGTACAGTCTAGGAAGAAAGAGTAAGAAAAAGAGCTTTGGGGTATCTCCTAAATTTTATATCTATCTGGAGATTAAGAATAACACCAGTAAAGGAGGAGGCAAACCAGGAGAGTTTCATAAAAGTAGTTATCTTCTGAGTCAGGAGAATACAAGTGGTCAGCTATGGCAAAGTGCTGCCGCAGAGTTCTTTGGACTTAGCAACAGGCAGGGCAAAAGGTCATGGAGCCAATGGAGTGGTGGGCACAGAACCCAGATTGGTGTAAGAGATTCTAGATGGGGACAGTGCCTTCTTGCTGGCATATGGCTGCTGTAGAAACTGGCAAGTAGCTACTGGGAAATTCAGCTGCTTCAGGCAGGCCCGAGAGCCAGGCTTCGTATTTGGTGACCTGAAAAAAAGAATTGGCCTGTGATAACCACTTAAATTTGATCTGGATGCCTGCCTTTTGTCACAGTATTACTTATTTGAGGATTTATTATTTTTTAAAAAGATTTTATTTATTTGAGAGAGAGATGGAGCATAAGCAGGGGGGAGGTGCAGAGGGAGAGGAAGGAGCAGACTCCCCACTGAGCAGGGAGCCCAATGTGGGGCTCAATCCCAGGACCCTGGGATCATGACCTTAGTACTTAACTGACTGAGTCACCCAGGGGCCCCTGAGACTTTATTATTAAGTGTTTTTGTTGTTGTTTGCTTTTTTCACGGATGCTAAATTGGGACATTCTACCTCTCTTCATTTTTAGATCCACTACACTGCTCAGGTTCAGGTCCTCATTATCCAGCCTAGGCTATCCAATTGAATTTTCTGTAATGATGGAAATACCTGCCTAGTAAAATAACTAGTAATCATTTGTAGCTATTGAGCGCCTGAAATGTGGCTAATGTAACTCAGGAACTGAATTTTTATTTTATTTATTTATTTATTATTTACTTTAAAGATTTTATTTATTCATGAGAGACACAAAGAGGCAGGTTCCTGCGGAGAGCTTGATTCAAGATTCCAGGAGTCTGGGATTACAACCTGAGCCAAAGGCAGATGCTCAACCACTGAGCTGCCCTGGTGTCCCAGGAACTGAATTTTTAATTGTGTGTGTGTGTGTGTGTTTTTTTTTAATAATAGAATAATAGAATGGGTTTAATTTATGCATATAATTTATTACTTTATATGTTCAGCAAATACTGATTTGATCAGTAGTTTGAAATAGTTTTCAATATTTCAAAGTTTCAAATATTTCAAAGTTTTGAAATAAATAGTGTGTGCTTCATTTTGAATTTTAATGTTAAATTTTTAACAGTTTTAAGGGCAATTCTATTGTGAAAAGGTAGTTAATTTTTAGAAGACATCTATTTATAAAGAGGAATTAGATTGAATTGATCTTCATTTTTATTTATATGCTTGTAATGCTTATCGTGTGGAAAGTTTAAGGGCTTTGTATACATTACTTTTTTGATCTTCATGAAGACTATGGGGTAGGTGCTTCATTCTCTTCATCTGATAGATTAGGACATGAAGGCACAGAGAAATTAAGTCTTTGCCCAGGGTTACACAGTAGTTAATAGGGTTGAGATTTGAACCTAGGCAGTCTTGAGTCTAGTGTGTAGATCCTTAATGATCATACTGTATCACTTCCCAAGCCATCACACTAATTGTTTCTGTCATACTTCCAGTTTTATATAGACCCATATAAACTGCTACCACTGCAGAGGTTTTTACCTCGACCTCCAGGTGAGAAGGGACCTCCAAGAGGTGGTGGCAGAGGAGGTCGAGGAGGAGGAAGAGGAGGAGGTGGCAGAGGTGGTAGAGGTGGTAAGTTGTTTTTTGGGGAAATTTTCTAGTGAGATTTCAAACTTGCAGCCAATTCACACAGTACAACTTAATTTTTATATAGGCAAACCTCCTTTATGTTTTTTTTTAGAAAAGCTATTTTCAAATCTTGACAGATTACCATAGTAATAATGCTTTGTTTCAATGACTTATTTTTTAAAAAATCTAATAAAGTATAATTTTGAGGGATTTTATCTTTGGGGTTATCCATGTTTTGTTGTGCATTTTATAAAGTGTAAGATTATCTTGACTGAGTTTTAGTTTTTTAATTAATATTATTGGGTGTTGATTATATGCTGAGAGCTAGTTGTATTCTTTTAATATCTATGTGTATTCTTTTAATATTCAGCAAAACCTTGTGAGATAGGCGATAGCCTTATTTTAGATGTGGAAATGGGTGGCTCACAAAAATTAATTTGCCCAGTTAATTGGCAATCCAGATTCTATCTTCTGATGTCATGTCAAAGACTTACCAATAAATTTATTGCTTTGATTTCAGCATTTTGCTATATGTATTTCCTAAAGTTTTGGTACATTCACCATTGTGGACCGTTAGATGATGAGCAGGGTTGGGGATAAGGTGTGGTGCAGTATTGAGTATGCCTAGATCTGAGTAGTGGTGTGATGGGGGACAGGATGATGGCAGAGCCTAAGTAGTTGGGAACAGGAGCCAAAAATTGGTTGGATATCTTCTGTTACTGAAACAGAAAGGAGAAAGAAGTCGGTTTCCAACTTTGCCTTTCTCAATTTAATTATTTCATTCTAAATATGCTTTTTTTTTTTTTTTTGATCCAGATAGCTAGGAGAGATAATCTCTTTAAGAAATCTGGATATATCTTTTTAAAATATTTTCGAGACACTAATGAGATCCCCCTCATTCCCATTCTATATTCAGTCTCTCATGTGACACTGAAAAAAATTCATTTGTTTTCTTAAAACTTTTATATTTATATACCACTGTTTTGGGAATATGTTTTTTCCTCTTATTGTAATTCATCATTCCTTACAAAGCTAATCAAAAGAAGTAAAAATGGAGACTGAAATAGGAGGTCAAATATGTATTGGATAAATGAAATTTTTTAATTTTCTTATTAAATATGTGAGCATCAGTGATGGTCCATATGTGGCTGATATCCCCAGAGTGAAACCACCCCTATCTGTTACCTTTTGTTCTTAGAATAAAAAGCCTTAGTTTAATCAAAAAAGTAATTCAGCAGAAGTTGAATTACTCATACATTTAATAGTAGGGCTAAATGGAACTTTAAAGTTACAAGTTTGGTAATTCATTAAAACAGGATTCTTGTTTAAAAAACTGTAACGTAGGTTATTAGGCTTATCAGATTAGGATAGGCTACCATAATTTTTATAAATATTTCCTTTATTTTTAGGTGGTTTTAGAGGTGGAAGAGGAGGTGGAGGTGGAGGCTTCAGAGGAAGGGGTGGTGGTGGTTTCAGAGGTGAGTGTGAAAAATAGTCTTTGAATCACTGAATTTCTAGGATTGGTATTACCTACCATTTTAAATTTTTATTCAGTCTTATTTCTGTTTCCCCAGTATATGGAACACCATGGTGTTCTTTGCTTTAGCCTAATTTAGATCTTTATTTTATGTCACTTTCTTGCTTTTCCTTTTGAATTTTTTCACCTACTTCTGTTTTGCGGAATTAATTTGAAAAAGCAGTATGAATGACAGTTAAATTTGGTAAATTGGTTGGCTACATAGTATAAGAATTAATGTTGATTTTAAGTTTGAGATTTTATTTATAGTGCTATTAAAAATTCATTTACTATAGCCTTAATACTTTCATTTTCTCTTAATTAGGGAGAGGACATTAAGTGTAGGAGTTGACAGAGAAACTTCCTGCATGATCTACTTCAATGGCTCAGAAACTTGTTTCTTGAGGAAGTCTGGAAGAACTGGTCATTTTATGATGGTGGAACTAAAATGTCATCACCATGCAAAAATGAGTACAACAGAATAAGCAGTTTTGCTCTAAAAGTATGAGCAAATGTTTAAATGTTTTGTATAACGCTTGGAACTCTGGGGGCTTAATAAATGGCCAGTTTTCATTTGAAGCATACTTGGAATTTTTAAAATAAAATGTTTTATTTCTTTAACTTATAATAGAACTGTGTTTATTAAAACAGCAATTTTTGAAGTTAAAAGGAACAATTAAGCTTAAACCCAGTGGATTTCAGATAGAAAAAATGATTTGTTTATGTATATAACTGATTTTTAAAAAGAAGGCTGGTGAAACAGTACTTTAACGTTATTAATAAATTAACACCCCTTTCAAAATCTTTGCCTTTTGTATATGAAAATATCAGCACTTTTTATTGCGTTTCATTTGTGTGCATAATGGTTACAAAAGCAGTTTCTTTAATTGTAATTAACAATTGGTTAGCAAATTTTAGTGTTGGGTATGAATCTATTAAACTTGGAACAGCTCTTTTCATGTAAGAACTAAAGTTCAAGAAATTTCTGGAGAAACATTTAATTCTCACTCAACATAGAATTCTGAAAGTTTTACGGACTCTTATTTTACTTTTTTAAGGGGACTCTAAAGGTTTAAGATGTTATTCATCATAAGAAAAAAAAAGATATTATTCATCATAAATAATTTGTTCAGATTCCTGGCAATATGTTCAGATTCCTGGGTAGAGACATTTCAGATTTTTTTTGAGACATTACATATTAAATTGACTTTTGATGCCCACTGCTAGTGTAGTATCAAGATATAACTATGAGAGCAAGTTAGAATACTGTGATAATGAGACCATTTCCCTGCCATTGATTTTTTTTTTTCTCTTCTCACACATAATCATTCTCAGAATGATGTTTCTCTAGCTGTTCCTTTCTACCATACTATACCTAATAATCAATACTTGATTAACTCTTGGAATGCTTGAGCATATAGTATTGTCTGCATTATTAGCAATTTAGGTTTTACTTATCTTTTTTTGTTTAATGGAATTACAGCAGAATTAATAAGCATGTAGGCCATAAATATATATGATGAAAATATGTTGAAAATTTTTCACAGGAAGAAATAGTGCTTTTCAACTTGGGAAAGGAGGCTATTTGATTTTTTAGAAATGTTGGGTTGAAATTGAGTTGAGAATTAAAGCCAGAGTTTCTACTCTTGGTTTGTAAAAGACATAGTGAGCATTAGAGGGGTGATGATGGCATTGTCCAAAGAACAAATAATAGTGCAACTGTCCTATGCTTGTTTTGACGTTTAAAAGTCTCAGATGGTTTTGATGGAAGCAATGTGTAGATCAGTAGACAAACTACTTGAGGTTTCCCCTTTTACATCTTTTGGTCATTGGTTATCTGTATACTTTTATTTTCACATCTTAATTCCCCCTTTTTTTCCTTAACAGTTTTCTGGATTTCCTTTTTTTTTTTTTTTCTTAAAAGATGTTATTTATTTATTCCTGAGAGACAGAGATTGAGAGAGGCAGAGATAAAGGCAGAAGGAGAAGCAGGCTCCCTATGGGGAGCCCAATGTGGGACTTGATCGCAGAACCCTGGGATCATACCCTGAGCCGAAGGCAGATGCTCAACCGCTGGGCCACCCAGCATTCCTCTGGGGTTCCTTTGGGGCATTTAGTTTTGAATCAAGTTCACATGTTTAGGGAGCCTAACAGTGAATTCTGTACTGTGGTGTGGTAAATATCACTGAGTTCCATTGTAAAAGATATTTTGATGATTATTCACGTAATAAGTCTTTTGAGTTGTTAACTGAATAACATCTTGATTGCTTGCATCATGTTAAAATGTACTTGTTGTCATAGCAATGAAACAATTTAGTGGAATACAAGCAGTATTTCCTGACACTGTTAGAAATTCGGGAAGAGTTATGAAAGGATTGACTTCAGGCTAGTTGAAGTTTATCAGATTAAAGAATTGTGAGCTATATGTAAACAGGATATGCTTATAGTTCTATTTCTTAGTATTCTAAACCTCATCCCAATATATCTTTTCCTGTATCATAAAGGAAGCATGAACAAGTGGTTTGAATATACTTATCACATTCATACCTGTAAAGATTTTATCTACAACAGATGCATTTGGAATTATATTTTTCTTTCATTCTTATAAATAGAAATAATTATTTCTGGAAGATTTAAATGGTTGCTGATTTAAATGGATGCTACAACTAAGTACAATCCATTACAGAAAAGGAAGGGAACATGAACCTATGAACCAAAGAAAACTCAAAAAAAATTTGTTTTATTCTACATACTGAATGCAAACAACAAAACTTAAAACCCAACAACCCAGAGATTTTTTTTTTTAAAGGGAGATTCCTCTTAGGTGTTACGGTAATTGCTTTAGGGAATATTTGAAAATATTTTGATATTGGAATCTGATGAGATTCACTTTCCTCACATAGATACTCTTTGGATTGTTACTTGACATTTATAAGAATTTGAGTGTTGGTAGTTATAAGATCTGGGCAGATCAACCTGGTTCAACTTCATTTTATTTTTTAAAAATTTAAAGATTTTATTTATTTGACAGATTAGGAGGGAGCACGAGAAGTGGGGAGGGGCAGAGGGAGAGAGAAGTAGACTCTGCTGAGCAGAGAGTAGGGCTTCATCTCAGGATGATGAGACCATGACCTGAACAGAAGGCAGATGCTTAACCAGCTGAGCCACACAGGTGTCCCTTAGCTTTATTTTGTACATGGTGTGGAGGAATTGAGGCAAAGGATTATCTTGGGTCCTCTCCTGCTATGCCATTCTAGGAGTTCTAAATTAAATTAAGTGGGTATATATAGCCCTCTAGTGGTTTTGCTATATGCTTACACTGTTAACTTTGGTACATGTAGCATTTCTCTGAAGTTACTGATTTTGAAAAAATAGCTATTGAGAAGAATCAGATTTTAGTAATATTACATGACATAAATAATGGAGGGGAAAAGATGGTATTCTAACAATTTTCATGCTATATTATAACCCATTTCTGTAACCTACTTTTTGGGTTATTATAATATGGTCCAGAATATTAGAATTGCCCTGCACCTTACAAGATGAATGATTGCATCCAGATTCTTTGCTGATAAATGCTGTGATTGTTATCTGATAATTGTGCATATCAAAGCATAGGGTAAATTAAGTAAGGTACTTAGACTGTGAAGTAGATCATACATATCCATGCTATGAAATACAAACTACTAGTAAGTTAGACTTAAATTTATTGACCTGGAATTTATGATAGGACTTTGAGGAAGAAAAGGTACAGAATGATTTTATATGCATATCTCCCCATTTTGCTTAAAAGAAAAAAAGAAACTTCAAATCCTAGTATGAATATGTGTTTGTATAAGCAAAGAAAAACAGAAGATCTAAGCCAAAAAATATTACTACCTTTAGGGCAGTGAGATTTGGAAGGATAGAAAGATTACTTTATTATTTATGTCTGATTATTCAAATAGGGAAAAAGAAACAAATGAAAAAAATTGAAAGGCTCAACAGAAAGGAAACTTAATCTGAAAAGTTTTAGGTGACCAAGTTTGGTTTTTAATTTCAGAACTGATTTCCAGCAACAATGAGTTAAGTCAACTCCTGCTGATTTAGAGTTTGTTTATTGTTTTAATGGGAGGTGTGCACTTCATAATCTCCTTAGATACAAGACTGATGCCCAAAGTGTTTAAAATGTGTGGTGCTTGGTATTTCTCTTTATTTTGCTAATAAGCTTTTTCCTTGTTCTGGGATTTAAAATCCTTTCTTCTCCAGCCCAATTAAATTTGTTAAGAGGGCGTCTATGAAAAGGCCCTTCTTTGAGGTCTTTGAGTGGAACTGATTGGTTCTGAAAATTCTTCCTTCATTGGTTCTTAAAACATTTCATAATTATTGAAGGCTCATTATGAAGGCTGTCTCAATTTCTTCCTCCAAAATGCTAAGGAATAATTTAGACAACAGTACAGACTCTAAAAATGAAGATGGCTCCGTCTTTTCACAGACTGAACACAATATTGTTGCAGCTTACTTGATCACAGCAGGTATGGATGTTTACTTCATTAACCATTATTTTGCTTTTGAGTGGGTGAAGAAAAGGGGTTTTCAGCTTAAGGCAGGAGGAAAAGCATGGATTCAGAGATGTTTCAGGTTCCATATTGTTGACCAACAAGTCAGTTATTTTGTCTCAGTTGGGGTGCTCATGTGGTAAATAGGGATAATAATACTTGCCCTATTTCGTCGATGTGTAGCAAAGAGAAAGTAGGTGAAAGGATAAATGAAGGCATTGTTAATGATGGTTAATGCCACAAGTTATTTTGTATCTTGTGTAACAGTAGTGAAGTGGGACTGAGAAAAATTTTCTAGAAAATAATTCTTTTATGATCATCCATATAATTCGTTATTACGTTAAGTTTTTATTGGTGAAGAATGTGTTCCATGGCAAAAATATATATGCCATTTACTATTCTCATACATACTATTCATAGTCTTGTCTTGGTGGTGGAATCTAGTTAGGATGGAAAGGTCTTAGAAAAAGTTGCAAAAAGAGGTAGCAGATTATTGTCGCTGAGGACAGTTTGAAAATTCAGCTCATTCCCAGAATGCTGTATTGGGAAACTCTTGAGCTTTGGATTTCATCTTTTAGTATCTTTGCAACAATGAGCAACTTCCTTCAGCTTTTTCTTCCATTTTCTTATCTGAAAACAGGATAAGAATAAGGTAACTGTCATGATTGCTGAGAAGAGCAAAATTAAATGACCTAAATGACACATACAGTAGGTGTTGGATGCATACTTGTTTCTTTCTGCCCACCTGTACGCACTCATTGATGTATACTAAGGTTTAAGATAAAGGCATGTTTACTATATAAAAGGGGTGGAGGAAATGAAATAGAAGTTCCAACTTTTTAGCATATAGGTTGAATTGTATACATTTTATATTGAGCAGTCCCTTCATTTCCAACTTTATGCTCAGTAATAAGTTTTAGAAGTAACTCTTAAATTGGGTTATTGCCATTTTGTGGATTGGCTTATGAAAATTCTCAAATATATTCAAAAGTGGAGTGAAAAGTATCAGTTAATTTATAGTTGCTTAGTTTCCCTATAGTTCACAATTACTTCTGTGCTAGAAATTGTGGATCTTCAGTTAATTTTTGTAAATTTCAGTGATATGCTAACTTGTTCATTTGAATACCTCTGTATGATAAATACTGGACAAGTTATGTTTTCCTTTCGAAGTTTGTTGTTGAAACAATATGAGAAAACAATATGCTAATTAAAGAGAAAAATCTTTACAACTACATAGAAATACTTTGTATACAAACTTTTGATTTAGCTAGTTTTTTGTAGATGAACAAGAAAAACTGTCTTTTTAAAGTCTGTTTACAAAAGTAACATGCAAAGAAAATTTCTTGTTAAGAAATTGTTCCAGGTTCTTATGCCATAGCAGTAACAACAGTAGGAATTTTACTACCACTACTATGATGATGGTCATCACCACTACCACTACCACCGCCACTACTACTGCTACTGTTATTTGAATACTTGCACTGTTCTAAATACTTACACATACAGGATAATTCATCCTTATCCTTATGAGTTAGTTTTATCTTCTCCATTTATATAGATGAAGAGTTTAAATAATTTACCCAACACACATCTACTAATATCTACATCAGGATTTGAACCCAGGCATTTTGATTCTAGAGCACTCATGTAATCTCAAGGGCCAGTTTTACTGAGGAATATCATTTATTTATTCATTCATTCATTCATTCATCATTTATTTATTTATTTATTTATTTATTTATTTATTATTTGAGGAATATACCTTGAGGGTGTGTTGTGTTTTTGGTAGATAAACTGAAAGGAGCATATCTAACCTCTTCATGCTTCTGCTGAAAGATTTATTGTTCTTCAGGTCTCTTAGTTTTCCCCTTTTAACAAAACCCACTTATATTTCCAAATCAAAACCAAGGCTTTGCGGAGAAGAATTTAGTTAAAGCATTTTTTTCATTTGTTATCTTTACCAAGAGTTTATTAGTTTTGTTTTGTTTAAAATTTAATTTTCAATTTAATATGTTTCTTAGATTTTAGCTTACAAACTTTTACCAGCTTGAGCACTCTCCCTTTCTCCAGGTAAGGCTGGGAGGCAGGAGGACATGGTATATTGAGGGTCTAAAATAAGTTCATTATGGATGAATTGTAAAGTGAAGTGTAAGAGATATTAGGCTGCAGAGGAGGCTGTGGACCAGGTAATGAAGAATCACCTAAATGATGAGGAATCACTGAATGACACGATTCCATTTGCATCTTAGAAATACACTATAATAGTAGCTAAGAGACCACATACAAGCTGTTGTATGATTAAGAAGGATCCTGAAGAGGAAGAAGTGGCAATTGGGATAGAAGTAGACACATTCAAGAGTCAGAAGTTAGAATTGTTAGTTGTATGTGGCAATTGACTGAGAAGGAAATGAAGTGTCAAAGATGACAAGTTTTCTGTTTAGGGGTTCCTACTTAGATGGGGAAGCTATTCATCAAGATAGGAGTACACTTGGGAAAGAACAAATTTGAGGAAAAAAAGTCTCTGGGTTCAGTGTGAGAAATGCCCAGTAAAAAGCTGCATGTGTGGGTTTGAATTTTATGAGATCAATCTGGAAAGGAGCAGCATATAGGCTTGGATATGTATGAAATCACAGATTATGTGTTTAATGTTAAACGAAAGGGGGTCTAAGAAATTTGGACAATGCACATATCTAATAAGGTAGAGATGGAGAAAGGCCAGGGTATAGATTAAGTAGGATCTACCAAGAGATTATAAGAAAGCTACAGAAGCCAAGAGAAAATTACCTTAATTTAGACATAACTATTAAATGATCTATTGTCTACTCAGAAAATACCTGCAGCCAGGGAAATAGAGTAGAGAGCTTGAGATAGTGGCTGAATGGATAGAGAAAAAGGCCAAATTGTTTACCTCATACCCCCCATTATATCTAAGACCTACCCCAAAATACAATTACTTTATTCTGGTTGTGTACTGGTAGGCAACAACTTCTGCATTATGTTTTATATGACTTAAAATCATCAAATTTGTACTTAGCTTAGAAAGATTCAATTCATTAAGCTTTTTGGATGCATGCTACAATACTTGACACTATAAATAGAGCCAAAAGGGCACCTGACTGGCTCAATCAGTAGAGCATGTTTCCATCCATCCATGTTGGATGTAGAGATTACTTAAAAATAAAACCTTAAGAAAAAATTTTTAAAAAAGAGACGGAGAATCACTGAATTGGCTATCATTGTGCCTTACTTATGCTTTGCAAGAATAATAGAACTTAAACAATATGAGTTTTAATTGTGCTCTGTTTATTAAGTAAATTTGTTAACTGCTACATACTCATAGAACACAGAAGTCATTAGGAACCTGAAATCTAGATGAGAAAACTAGGAATACCTAAGAGTTAAATACAGCATCACATGAGATGAATTATGTATACTATAAGCAAGCACTTTGGAAATTTAGAGAAGAGAGAATACTGCGGGTAGGGGAAGGCTCTAGGGCAGAACTGGGCTTGAATAGAACTTTGAAGGATAGGTAGCATTTGAATAGATACAGGGAGAGAGTGTTTCAAATGGGAAAAATAAGAGTCAAAATTTACAACAAGCTTGTGTATGTGATAAATAACTAGAGTAGAGGGGTTGTTTGGCAAATGTGGTAATTTGCTTAGAGAAGGTGAAAACAGATTGAGTCAAAACCTGGAATATCAAGTTGGGACACGGGGGCTTTTATTCCACAGCCAATGGAGAGTATTGGAGTTCTGAGAAGAAAGATGGCTAATTTTATGTTAAAGCCAGCTTACTCTGCCAGCAGTATGAAGGGAAAAGAAAAGGAACCTGGAAGACTAGTGTCACAGGATCCTAAAAGAAAGTTTTGACTGAGGCCCCAAGATGTAATAGAAGTTCTTCGTCAGTTGCTACTTTTGGGTGTTGGTGTTTGGAAATCCTCCCTCTCTACAATTGCTGGGGGCTGCTCACCAATAGTACACTTCAAATACAACTCTTCTCTTGTTGCTTACCCCTCCTTTAGCCCCCAGGAATCTGGTAATGGCTCTAGCCTGTCCCAAAATCTATTCATTCCTCATCCCCACTGTTAGGACCTAGTGTGATCCACAACTAGCTTATGGGAAATTTATGCATCCTTCGCAGCATGTAGAGGTTGTTAATTGGGCTAACATGAGTGTCTGGTCCATTCAACAGTAGTACTCATTGTATATTAAAATACTACCATTCTAATTATGAAATCCAGTCATCTGTCTACTTGAGTCCATCCCGTCCCGGGGCATTGACAACAATGAGTTTCTGGCCCTGCAATGCTACGAGTCAGATCCCAGACTGTGGAAACTTGGAGGTATCATGTGTGAGGCTTCTCAATGTACCTAAAACCAGTCTGACTCCCTTTCTGAGTAGTCAAACCTTGCAGTGTGCATTCTATAAGGGGTCTGTGTGTGTGTGTGTGTGTGTGTGTGTGTGTGTTGCATGATGAACTCAGGTTTGAAGCTGTTGAATTTCCAAAAATACTGGAACAGTCATATGATCTTACACGTAGTAGATCCCTAGTAATGTTCAATGGGAATGAGTTTAATGAGAAGGGATATGGAACTGGAGCATGAGTCAGGGCTGGAAAGTGACAGAAGAGCTGTTAGGATAGGGTGATATCTTAAGGCTTGAGAAAGCAAACAAGAGAGAAAGAAAAGCCTCAGGCCTCAGGCCTCAGGAAGGAAGAAGAGGAAGTTAGACTGCCAAAAGAGATGGTATGGTCATACATATATCTTAAAAATCAGCAGAGGTGGTATCATGAAAGATAGGGGAGGGATTTCAAGGGCAGAGTGATTGACAGGGTATTAAAACCAGCCTTCAGTGCTCTATATGCAATCGGTAGATTTTTTGTTTTAATTTTATTATTTCCGTTTCACAAGAAGGGCTGGGAAGACACTACAACCAGTTTTAAGAACAGTTGGAGCTCATCAAATAAATGAACTAAAATGGACTTGCTATGTTTTTGAAGGGACTTAAATATTTAATTTTGAATACTACTTTTAAACATTCAAATTAAAGTGATTTTAATTTTTTGTATATGTTCTCAGGTATAATAAGTATTTTCAGCAACCTAATAGTTCTGGGCATCTTCATTAAGTATAAGGAACTTCGGACACCCACAAATGCAATTATCATTAACCTGGCTGTTACTGATATAGGAGTCAGTAGCATCGGATATCCCATGTCGGCAGCTTCAGATCTGTATGGAAGTTGGAAATTTGGATATGCAGGATGCCAGGTATCGGAGACATTTGGAATGAAAACAAAATAAAAGATTAAAGAGATATAAATTTAAACGTCTAAAAAAAAAATATCCTGGGACGCCTGGGTGGCTCAGTGGTTGAGCCTTTGGCTCAGGGTGTGATTCCGGTCTGGGGATCGGAGCCTGCTTCTCCCTCTATGTCTGCTTCTCTCTGTGTCTCTCAGGAATAAATAAATAATCTTTTTTAAAAATACAAAAATACAAAAACATCCCAAGGGTTTCAATCAAACAAGACAATGTAGGATAATAGATAGACTGCTCTTACTGAAAATAGCTTCAGAAGTGACTGGGAAATATATTCTTTAATAAGAGAAATGACATTGGTAGCATTCATTATATTTTCGAAATTTCCCTGACAAAACAAAAAATTTCCCCCAAAACAAAAAAATTAGCATTTAACCAGAGAAGAAAAGTAAAAATTTGCATATTCAAAAAACTTGCATATTGCAAATTCAAAAAGAAATATCCTGTTTTCATTTGAAACAATGAACTATTTAATGACAGTATCATAATATCCAAGTAATGTAGTGAGTTTACCAGTTTTTCCCCCAATGGAAAGTCCTCCAATGGAATTGCTATTAATTATATCCATTATTATTTTTACTGACAAGGAAATATATTAATTTGTATTAGGATAGTAGGCCATGGCTTTTGCTTGATTTTTACAAACAGTTTGCTATTTTAAGGTATAAAATTATAGAGAATAAAATGAGAGTAATAGAGTAATGGATACTCACATATATACCACCTGGTTTTGTCAAATCTTAATGTTTTGCAATATGTGCTTCAGGTTGTTTTGCTTTTTAAAGATAAAATACTTGAGGGGCACCTGCGTGGCTCAGTCAGTTAAGGGACTTATTCTTGGTTTGGGCTCAGGTCATGGTCTCAGGGTCGTGAGATGGAGCCCTATGTTGGCTCTGTATGCTCAGTGCACAGTCTGCTTGAGATTCTTACCCACCCTGCTAGTGTGCACACACTCTCTTTCTCAGTTAAATAAATAAGATCTTTAAAAAAAATAAAGATCTAAAACCTGAAAAATACTATTAAAGGCCATGCATTGCATACCATCCCCAATCTTACTTCCTTTTCTTCCATGAGTGTTTTTCTATCTTGGTACATATTTACCTGCAAATAAACTAAACATCCAGAAAACTGTTTGGATGTTTTAAGTTCTGTATAAATAATACATTGTTTATGTGATGCAATCTTATATGATTGTATGTTTTTGATGTTTATCCATGTTGATGGATGTAGCTGTAAGTCACTTTTTTAAATTACTACACGATATTCCATTTTATGAACATACCCCAGTGTATTTATTTTCCTGTTATTAAGCATTTATTCTCAGTTATTTTCTGTCACAAAACAAAGCTTCAAGTAAGCATTCTTTTGTCTCTACAATACATAAGAGGTTCTTTAAACATCTTGTTTATGAGAAAGATGGTTGGGTTGTAGAGCATATTCATCTTCAACTTCATCAGATATGGCCAAATTTGCTCTCCAAAATGGGTATGCCAATTATGGGAACTTTGATTATTCCACATTCTCTCCACCGCTTGGAGTTGCCAGACTTTTATTTTTTTTATCACTTTGGTGGGTGTGAAATGGTACTTATAATTTGCACTTCTTTGAATATGTATTGTGGTTTACATCTTATATCATAAACATTCAGGTTTCCTCTTGTATGAATAGCTCATTTTTGTTTGTCTTTTCTTTTTGTTGAATTGTTTATCTTGTGAACACTAATATTTTGTTGGTTATATGCACTGCACTTAATTTATGGTTTGTTTTTTGCATTATGTTTATAGAGTATGTTGTATAGAAGTTTTACTTTAAGTCTTAAAATTTTAAAAGTTTATTTTCATTAATGAAGACCTAAAACACTTTCCACAAATGTCTTTAGTAAGCCAGTTACAATATGACAATAGAAAATTTATTCTAAAATTATTAAAAAACATTCAATGTATTTAAAATGTATTCTGGCCATGGAATAAAAATGTAAATGTCTCTTGGGAGGGTGTATAGAATGGTGTATTCTTTCCAATTTTGAATTTTAGATTTATGCCGGATTGAATATCTTTTTTGGAATGGCAAGTATTGGATTACTCACTGTTGTGGCCATGGATCGATACCTGACCATCTGTAGTCCTGACACAGGTATAGCACTTCTCTCAACTTTCCCAACGAATTCATTTCTTGCTTAAGTACCACTCACACACATTCACTTTAAAATATAAATGTAATGAGTTGTAATCATGGTCAGTTATTTCTCTGACAGTCCTTGTTCAAAAATTTCAATGATTTCCTATGATACTTAGAATAAAATCCAAATTTCACAGCACAACCTACGAGGCTCTGTGTGGTCTGGCCCTTGGCTATCTTTCCAGCTTTGGCAAGGACACCCTATGGGGTACTGGCCTAGGCTTTTCCCATTTCAGGGATCTTTGTAAATGTGCCTGGAGCGTGTTTCTCCCTGCTTATTCTCTGACTGATCCTTTTTATCATTCAGGTGCCAGCTTAAATGCCTTTTTTCCCCCTAAATATGAATTCAGGTAGATAGGCTCTGAGTGAACTGAAGTGCTTTGCAAAGAATCTACTTCATAGCAATGTTAAGTAATCAGTTAAAACAAGGTGAAGATATGAATTTCATCAGTGGCAAGTGATGCTAATATTTCATCTGTTTGTTAATAGGAAGAAGAATGACCACCAACACTTACATCAGCATGATTCTGGGGGCCTGGCTCAATGGTCTCTTTTGGGCTTTGATGCCTATTATAGGGTGGGCTAGTTATGCCCCGGATCCTACTGGGGCTACTTGTACCATAAACTGGCGGAAAAATGATGCGTAAGAGACACATTTTCACTTCATAATCAACTGTTTCTAATGTAGACATTTTTTTTGTAATTTCAAATTTAAGCTCAGAGCAAATGCTTCCTTACAGAATATGGCAAAGTGCTTCCCTGGTAGTGATGATGCAATTCTAGCATTGAATTATGCTTGTTTGCAAGTAAAGGCCATCCAGCTCCATTACCGTCCTTACCCTCTTCTGTCCTCTGTCTCCTGGGGCAGCAGAGTGGGTAGAGAGCACCCATTGGGTATTGGCATCTCAGGAGTAGAATCTGAAAGGGAAAACGGAATGTTAGTATCGCTAGACAGCATGTGGCTTTGCCGAAAGCCCAGGCTGACTCCCGACTATCTTTTCAAGATGATCTGGTGATAAAGCTGGAATGACCCAGTAAAAGCAAATCACCATAAGGATTTGCTTGCTCCTTAGTGATGCTCTTCTGTATTTACCAGGGAAAAGAGGGTAACTTTGTTAAAGAAAATGAAAGATCACTCAGAAAAACAGAAAATTTCTCTCAAACTAAATCTAAATCTTAAACTTTCTGTAGAGGGTCAATAAGTAAATATTTTAGGCTTTACAGACAAGACTGTCTCTGTTCTAATGATTCATCCCTGCCTGTGAAAGCAGCCATAGACAGTATGTAAAAGAATGTAGTTCCAATAAAATTTAATTTACAAAGACAGATGATAGACTGGGTGTGGCCCATGGGCCATAGTTTGCCAACCCCTAGCCTAAATGAACTAGTTAAATATTCTTTCCAACCTACTTAATAATATAGTGACTGTTGAGCAGCGCCAGTATTATTTTTAGTAATTGTCCTGTTTCCTTTTCCTTATTCAGCACATGAAACAAATAGAGATTTAATGATTCCCTTTTCTTATTTTCAGATTTTTTGTTTCTTTCACGATGACAGTTATTGCAGTAAATTTTATTGTGCCCTTGACAGTGATGTTTTACTGCTATTACCATGTCACTCGATCCATTAAATGCCATACTACTAGTAACTGCACTGAGTATCTCAACAGAGATTGGTCAGACCAGGTAGATGTAACAAAGGTAAGACATTAAAATTCTTAAAATGTTTTTGTAATGGAGCTTTTACGCCTATGTGATCCATATTACAATCACCTCTCCCCAGCACCTGATGCTTACTCTCTGGCTCTTTTTCTTGTGTTTGTCTCCATATTTTTAAAATTTATTTTATTTTTTAATTTTTAATTTTTAATTTTTTTTGTCTCCATATTTCTAAATGATGTGTTTGTCTGCTGTTTTGGGTATTTTTTGTTTGCTATCACTCTTGATTTCCTACTATAGACAATGAGAGTGTATTTCTCTTACACCATCTTTCCTACTCCTCCACCCTGACCTTTCTTCTCCTCTTCTTGTCTGCATAAGGTTACTATTTGGTTACATTGTTGTACATTATCATAACTACCTAAATTCTGTTTACTACAGATCTCTGTAGGGTTCTGTGATTTGTATTTTTTAATCATTTTTTTTCTTTTGGGGCTAATAATTCATTCACGTCTTTTATATTCTCTTCCTCCTTCTCTCAGTCCTCTCTTCTGCTTCCCTCTGTCCTCCGCACTCCCCATAGTTTTGTTTGCTTGCTATTCTGTGTACTTGTCATGAATTCATCTCTAAACTCCCCACCAGAGGCACCAATCTTCTCTCAGTGTTTCAAATGCATCAGAAACTAACTGACTTCATCCTTTATTTGGAACTATCCCTCTTGGAGCTCTCAAGCATCTTGTTCTGCCCTGGCCCTTCTCTAAGACCACTGCCAGCATCCTCAGATCTTATCAACAGCTGGGAATGCCTTTGGCCTCTCTTCTGAGGTGAATTGCCCGTTTTCTGGCGTGTGTATCTTCCTTTTTCTTGGTTACTTGCTCTCATTTGGTGGAACACATTCTCAGGTAGATTTCTGAGAAGGTTATAGGGAGGTAAATTATTAAAGATTTTATTGCCATATCTTAATTCTATGACCATATTTGACTGTTAACCTCACATGGAATTTTAAATAGAAAAATGATTTTCAAGGACACCTGGGTAGCTCAGCTGTTAAGCATCTTCCTTCAGCCCAGGGAGTGATCCTGGAAACCCGGGATCAAGTCCCACGTCAGGCTACCTGCATGGAGCCGTCTTCTCCCTCTGCCTGTGTCTCTGCCTCTCTCTCTCTCTCTCTCTCTCTCTCTCTGTGTCTCTCATGAATGAGTAAATAAAATCTTAAAAAAAAGAAAAATGACTTTTAAAAAATTTCATTTATCTATTCATGAGAGACACAGAGAGAGAGAGGCAGAGACGCAGGCAGAGGGAGAAGTAGGCTCCGTGCAGGGAACCTGACTTGGGACTCGATCCCAGTTCTCTGGATCAGGCCCTGGACTGAAGGTGGCGCTAAACCGCTGAGCCACCGGGCTGCCCAGAAAAATGATTTTCAGGGTTTTGAAGGCGTTGCTCTATAGTCTCCTAGCTTCCAGTGTTGCTATTGTGAAGGCTGACAGCATTTCAGTAACTGACCCTTTGTAGTGTTCTATGTTCTCTCTGGAAGCTTGAAGGATCATTTCTGTGTTCCATGGTGATGTGCCTTGAGGGAGCTCTTTATTCACCCATGTACTGGGTATGTGGTGAGTGCTTTCAATATGAGGACTCAAGTCTTCCCCTTCTAGGAGATTTCTTGTATTATTTCTCTGGTGATTTCCTTTCTATGTTTTGTTTTTTCTATTCTCTTTCTGGAAGTCTTTTTTTCTTTTTCTTTTTTTTTTCTTTTTTTTTTTTGGTATTGAATCTTCTGGATATATCTTCTAATTTTCTTAATTTTCTCTCCTACGTTGACCCTGTCTTGGACTTTGTTTGTTTTTTGTTTCTACTTTCTGCAAGATTTTCTCAACCATATCTGGTCTGAAATTGGGTTAGAAAAGTGAGGCTCAAGCCTTGGGTGTGAAATTTAAGCGGGCACCAAAAAACTCAGCAATCCAAAAAAAAAAAAAAGTAGCTAATGTAGTATTTTTTAAAAATAAGAATTAACGTCACATCAGAAAGGGAGACAAACCATAAGAGACTCTTAACTATAGAAAATGAACTGAGGGTTGATGAAAGGGAGGTCGGTGGGGGGATGGGGCAACTGGGTGATGGGCATTAAGGATGGCTTGTTATGTAATGAGCACTGGGTGTTATATGCACTGATGAATCATTGAACTCTATCTCCGAAACTAATAATACCCTATATGCTAATTAATTGAATTTAAATTTAAAAATTAATTTAAAAAACCATATTGAACAAAATATAAAATTTTAAATAAACACAGCATATGACCCTGCACTTGCATGACATACTTCATACCCTAATCTTGGCTAACCACATCATTCAACCTTTCTAGTGCATTTTAAAAATTCTGCCCTTTCTTTTTCAGCTAGGGTAAAGGATAAAAATGGTTTTAATAGATAAAAAGAGTTATTTTACACCCTCTACTCCTTTCCTGTAGCCTCCTTTTCTTTTATGGATATATATCTTCTCTCATTTCTGTGATGGTATTATGTATATACTTACATTTTCCTCTGTTCATCACATATTTTTTGTTTCCCCTGAATTTCTGTACCAATTTTTTGGGTATCTTTTTTTAAAAAAATTATTTTTGAAGTATAGTTGACATACAATGTTATATTATTTTCAAGTGTACAACATAGTGATTTGATGTTTCTCTACATTACACAACGTTCACCACAATAATTATAGCTCCTGCCTGTCACCTTACAATGTTACTACATTATTGACTATATTCCCTATGCTGTACTTCTCATCCCTGTGACTAACTTATTTTATAACTGGAAGTTTGTACCTAATCTCCTTTACCTATTTTGCCCATCCCCCTATATTTCTCTCCTCTGGCAATCACCAGTTCTCTGTATTTATGGGTCTATTTCTGTTTTTTGTTTGTTCATTTGTTTTGTTTCTTAGATACCACATATAAATGAAATCATATAGTATTTATCTTTCTCTGTTTGACTTCTTTCACTTAACATAATATACTCTAGTTCCATCCACATTGTTACAAATGGCAAGATTTCATTTTAATGGCTAAGTAATATTCCATTGTGTGTGTGTGTATGTGTGTGAGTGTGTGTGCTCCTGAACCATTTTTGTCTCTGCCTGTCAGTTTGTTTCCTCAATGTGTGGTGGTCAATGACTGTCTCTTGCATGCATATTTAAGAGTGATGCACTAAAATGCTGATTGTAAGCTCTGAGCATTCACATTCACTGGGATGTTCCTTTGGGGGAATTTCTGATGCTCTGTGTCTGAATGTATTTTCTTCTGGGCTGGTCAGTTTCCAAGAAGTTTCTTTTTTGTTCCTAAGAGGGAAGCATAAGTCTGTCTCCTGTACTGTTATGGCTCAGAGCAGGGCAGCATGCAGCACCTCTCTTTCAGTACACTGTTCCCGCTCTCAGCTGAGCCTGGTGCCTTCTAGTTTCTTGCCTCTTACTCTGAATCTCTGGATTCTTCTGGGGAGAGGAAGGGGAATTGCCTGTTTGAGTGGTGAGTGGTGAGGGGATTCAGAAATCTAATTGCTTCTTTTTGCGGATTTCAATGAGTTCTGCTATATCTCTACATTCAGAGCCAGCTTGTTACCTTCAATTCCAGGGACTTTATGTACTGTTGTGGAATGGATTAGTCTGTATTTAGTTTTCCCCTGCTGCTGGCTCTTTTTAAAATTTTTTATTTATTTTAAAATTATTCTTGTGTCTGATAAGTAATTTGCTGCTTATCCAATGATTAATAAGTTTTAGTTTTTATAAAGCTATTGTCTAATCTGTGATTCTCAATCCTTGTGGGTTTTTATCTTTTTTTTTAAGATTTTATTTATTTACTTTAGAGAGAGAATGAGTGAAACATTCTTCACTCATGAGTGGAGTGGAGTAGAGGGAGAGGAAAAAGTAGACTCCCAGCTGAGCAGGGAGCCCAATGTGGGGCTCCATCCCAAGATCCCCAGATCATGACCTGCACAGAAGGCAGATGCTTCACTGACTGAACCACCCAGGCGCCCCTGGGTATTTATCTTTTTAAACCTCTTTTCCATCATCTTAGTGGATAATCAATAAAGAACAACATAAAAATTATAATTTTTTATTTAAACAAGCTGCAAGGGGGAACCTCTTTACAAACTATCTGTACTGTGCATATATATTGAGCTCAAATCATCTGTTCAGAATTCAATGAACTCAATATAGAATTTTGTTTTTTTCCAGGTTGAATTTAGAAGGTTAGAAAGTTATAGTTTAGATTAGCAGATAATGACAGTGAGGGCAAAAAGCACAGTTTCAGCAGTCCATAGCACAATTATTAGAAATGGGTTAGGAGTGGGTTTTCATCTGCCTCTCATCAAAGCCAGCTTTAGTATTCCTCTCTAGCACACCAAAAGAAAGAGGATATTCTTTACATTTGTATAACATTCTATCCATTTAACAAGTCCTTGTTATCATAGAGACTTTGAGTCACACAGGCAAAGTACAACAAGGTTTGGGAAAATTCAGTTTTTCCTCTATGTCATCATCAACATAAATTTATTCAAAGTCCACTCTAGATAATTTTTCATACTATTTTAAATATATTAGCTATTTTGGGCACCTGGGTGGTTCAGTGGTTGAACATCTGCCTTTGGCTCAGGTCGTGATCCTGGGGTCCTGGGATTAAGTCCCACCCACACTGGGCTCCCCACGGGGAGCCTACTTCTCCTTCTGCCTATATCTCTGCCTCTCTCTCCCTGTGTCTCTCAGAAATAAATAAATAAAATCTTTTATATATATATATATATGTATGTATATATATATATATTAGCTATTTCAATATTTTAGATATTGGGTTTGCCAAACATTGATTTATCTTACAGATGTCCGTGATAATGATATTTATGTTTCTGGTGGCCTGGTCCCCTTATTCCATTGTGTGCTTATGGGCTTCTTTCGGTGACCCAAAGAAGATTCCTCCCTCAATGGCCATCATAGCTCCACTATTTGCAAAATCTTCTACATTCTACAATCCCTGTATTTACGTGGTTGCTAATAAAAAGTAAGTACTGTTTCAAATGCTTTTAAATTTAAGAAAATGGATATAGAAAGAATTTTAAAAAGATTTTTGAGGAGGCAAGTGACAGAAACTCACTTCAAACTAGTGTACGAATTATTTGGCTCATGCAATATGTGTCCAGGCCCTTAAATACCTAGAGCTCCAGTGACAGCCTCTTCCCACATGGAGGCAAGATGATTACGGCAACCCAAGACCCACGTTCTACCATAAGCTAAGCATCCCCAAATTTGAGTTTCAATTCAGATGACTCTCCAGCAGAAAAGCTGCTGGACGGTGGTTGGTGGCCTCAGTTTAATTCTCATGATTACCCCCCACTCCCAATACATGGAATTGATTTTCCAAAGAAAAGAGTGGTTCTATTATCAGAAAATGGACAAGGTGAGGAAGGCAATTTATGCTCCTTAAGTGGGTGGCATAGTTGCATATTTATTAAAAAGAAGCTATTCAAATGCAAGGGAAAAACTCAGTTCCAAAATAAATGGGCTTCAGGAGTGGATAGTCGTTGAGGATAATAAAGAATCCTTCCTTCTCCCTTTGTTGGAACTCAACAAAGATTTCTTTTCTGTCTCCTCAGTGAAGCCTAGATTACTTTATTTCCTGTTACTGCTGAAAGATGGAATAACCAATTTATTGACCTTAAATATTTGATCAGAAAAATCTCAGTAGAGGCCAGGTAATTTGATACTGAAATGCAAACTTTTGTGTTTATGCACATGTTTGGGAGAGCCGTGTTAGCTACAGGTATACAAAGAAACATAAACACTGTCAAGACCAAACAGACCACATAAGAAGACTAAAGAACGTACTTTAAATTCAGAGTCTATTTGTAGTTCTTTTGGAAAGATTATTTTCAAACTCCCCTTAATTTCAACTGGCATTTGCTCAGAAGAACAAATGTGTAAAATACACATTCTCAGTTCAAGTAAATTGTGACTGACATTCAAAGTATCATCCTCCGGATGTCTGGGTGTGGTTGAGCATCTGCTTTCGGCTCAGGGAGTAATCCTGGGACCCAGGATCGAGTCTCGCATTGGGCTCCCTGCAAGGAGCCTTCTGCCTGTGTCTCTGCTTGTCTCTCTCTGTGTCTCTCATGAATAAATCAATAAATAAATCTTTAAAAAAACAACAAAAACAAAAACAAAGTGTCATCCTCAATACACATAATTATTGATTTTTATTAAATATCTTCAATGTTTATAATCAATGGTGCATATTTGGCCTTTAACTATACTGTATACTTTATACATTTATGAATATGCTTTTTAAAAAGATTTTATTTATTTGAGACAGAGAAAGTGAGCAAGTGGGTATGCTTCTGTCTGGGGAAGGGACAGAGGGAGGGACAGAGGGAGAAGCAGGCTCTACACTGAGCAAGGAGCCTGATACAGGGCTCCATCCCAGGACCCTGGGATCAGGGCCTGAGCTGAAGTTAGATGCTCAACCGACTGAGCCACCCAGGCACCCCATTTATGAATATCATTAACAGAAGATGTTAAAGTCCAAAGCAAAAATTTATTTGGAGATGTCAATTAGCAATAGAGGCATCTTAGCCATGTTTGAAAATGCTTTAAAAGTTCTAAGTCATTATAGGATAATGCCAGATTTCCCCTTTCTTACTATAGATTTCGGAAGGCAATATTTGCCATGTTCAAATGTCAGACTCATCAAGCAATGGCCGGGACGAGTATTTTACCAATGGATGTATCTCAAAACCCGCTGGCTCCTGGAAGAAACTGAAATAAGAGAAAAGTACATAGTATTAAAATATTTTGTTGCTTCTCCCCCATGGTTTAGTTTTATTTTAAATATGATCTGTTTAGATCAGAGGTAGACAGAGATTATTGTCTTACTACACCCTCAATTCCTCAAGTGTAGCTTCTAGTTCTTCTATTTGTGGGATGGCTACTGTAGTGAGTGTTTATTTCCTTTATATGAGCTTAACTATTCATTACCTTGGATGCACAGGCACTTGAGACCCATTCTCTTTCTCCCAATCATGGCATTCAATGACCTGGTAACTGGTGTGGGCCCTCCACTAGACTAGAAGAAGCCACTATTTTAATGTTAAAATAAATTAATAATAATAATAGTCTTCAATAAGTAAATTACTGAAATGAGTTGTTGGATATTCCTAGGTAGATGGAAAACATTTTTAGCATTTCACACTTTTAAAATTGCAATGCAATTATTAACCTCTACTATTTAACAAAAATAATTGAACGACTATTAAACACATTGCTTCTAAATCACATTAGTTGATGCACATGTGTACATTACATAGCAATATAATCTTTGCATATTATGTATTCTTCATTTTTTTTTAAAATTTTTTTTTTAATTTTTATTTATTTATGATAGTCACAGAGAGAGAGAGAGAGAGGGGCGCAGAGACACAGGCAGAGGGAGAAGCAGGCTCCATGCACCGGGAGCCCGACGTGGGATTCGATCCCGGGTCTCCAGGATCGCGCCCCGGGCCAAAGGCAGGCGCCAAACCGCTGCGCCACCCAGGGATCCCGTATTCTTCATTTTTAATTAACATTTTTCTGTATATGTATTTCCATATGTTTGCCACTAGAATTAATCAGGGAGGTTTGTGTATTTGTTCTCTTTTTCCTTTGTTTGTCTGAAATTTATTTTTATTGTGGCAAGAACACAACATGTGATCTACTCTCTTAACCAGTTTTTGTCTACAATACAGTATTGGTAACTATAAGTACAGTAGTATATAGCAGATCTGTAGAACTTCTTATCTTGTTTAACTGAAACTTTATGTATATTGATAGCTGGATGCTTGTTCTTTGGTGTATCTTTAGCAGGTAGATGCATTTTGCCTGGCATGTAATAGTCACTCAATAAAAAAAAATTGTTGAATGCTGAATGCATTTATAAACTCATGCATTTGTTGTCTTAAATAACCATTGTTTAAATAGTTGACATTTAAAATCTGCAGTTTTTTATTTTAATTGAGCAAATTTTTCTAGCTTTACTGTTTCTATATGCATCCTATCATTTTTAAATAACATTTCCTACAATATTCTTATTTTTATAGAATTGGCTCTCTTTTGAAAAGGTTTTTGGTTAAAAGATGATTGATAGAATCACTCAGTACAATAACACGATTAAATTATATGTGTGTGTGTGTTATCAGGCAGGGGCAATCAGGAGGTACTTGACATGCCCAGATATATATAAATGTGTGTGTGTGTGTGTGTGTGTGTGTGTGTGTGTATAAAACCTAAATCCCTGATTGTCAAATATCCATGAAGATTTACCATTTTATGTATGTGGAGGTAGTTTTTAATTATCGAGTTTAATTTTTATTTTCTGATAGAGCCCAAATTTGCTAAAAGACATGACAATTGATTTTCAGATATGATTTATTGCCTGTATTGAGAAACTAATTCAAAATAAAATATATTCTTGATCAGAGATAATGGTCTTCCTTATAAACAAACATGCTAGGGTAAGCCTTATACTCCTCTGAAGCGACCTGGGAGAACCAGAGTTTTAGTCTTGCCATTCAGTGGTGGGTTGAAGCAGTTTGCCTAAAAAATCTAGGTACTGAATTTAGTTTACTTTTTTTTTTTTTGAGATCACAAATGCAAAAAATAAAATTTATATGTTATAAATAATCCGTAATATTTCTAGCATCTGCTAAAACACTGAATTATTTTTAACATTAAGTGTATCTTCAAGGCATAGTACCAATTACAACCATAGTAAAAGGACTTAGTAGGCATTTCCTTGCAAATTTGGATATGGGCACCTATTGAAATTTTCTTGACATATGCTTGATTTTCATTTTCCTTAGAATGTGTTACTTTGCTGAAACCATATTCAAAGGCTAGGTCGATTGATCCCCTGTAAAATACACTTGAAGGTTAAGTAACTACAGATCTCAGCTAATCCCATGTAATCTGCTGTTACTAAATGGCTGTTTGCATTCCTGGTGCACCAGTTTCTGAAGCTTAGGATTTGGTTTCTACTTTTTGTTCAATAACCTTCAGAAGGAGCGATGCATCTCTCAGCATGTCTGTGCATTGTGCTTGTTAGCTTTTTGGAAAGAGTGAGCTGTTCATGTCCTTCACAGTGTACCTGCGATTATCATGGCAGAAATGACGGAACGGGATCAAGGTATGCTCCTCTCCTTGCTAGTGAGTGTGCTAATGATTCTAAGGAAAAGGACTTTAACTAGACAGCCTTATTTTGAAAGCAAATTGTGGACCAGGTATCAGAGGAGAGAAGGTTTAATTTACATAAGCTTTAACTTCCTTGTGTTAAAATCAGTTGCCCACTCTTTCATTTTGAGTAGTTTAACTCTTAAAAGCCCCTCAAATTATTTGAGACCCTCAGACACATCGTATGTTACAAAAATATCCATTGCACTTGTGTTCATCACGTGTCCCTTTCAGGAGGTCAAACCACTGAAATAAGTGTTTAGCTTGTTTATAGAAAATCTAAGAGGGAGGGCCAATCAGGAGGTACTGGACATACCCAGATGATTTGCTTCCCTTCTTTCCCATTTCATTTTGAAGGTTATTCATGCCAACTGGATAGATTTTTTTTAAAGTAGGAAGGAAGATCACAAGAGTGAAATTAGAGAGGCTTATAATTAGGATTTTTCATTTTAAAGTATTGGAGTTTACAAAGAGAAGTTTGAAAGACATGGATCAGGGTTGATCCCTGTCTGTTGCAGATACTGGGGAGCCTCACAGAAGTTAGTCAGCCTCTGGGTTGTTTTAACATCTACCTGTAAAGTGAGAATAATTGCATACTTATAATTTATGTGAGTCCTTTGAGGTAGAAGTTAGATGCAAAACAACTTTTGTTAGCTAAACATGATAGAACTTGTTTTTTTAAAAAGAGGATATTTAATAATAAAATCAGATTATTTTGTGACTTGGTTGAAGTGAACAGTGAGCCTCTTATAGAAAATAATTTGTTAAAAGAATCACCCAATTTATGTCTTACAACTTTAAACAAATAAATAATAACAATTAAAATATATCTTTGAGTAGTTTGTCTTGTTATTGTATGAACTTTACTTAACCAGTTCTTGGTATCTTTTTTGACTATCCACTAGGTTATTTAAGACAAAGAGAACAATCTGTAATAAATTAAAGACCTACTTGGCAAAAGTATGAAGCAGTTAATGAGTCAGGGCAGGGTACTTTTAAGAAAATAGTCACAGAAAATTTTTTTTCATAGGGATGGCCCCATTATTGATGGATTTTATAAAAACCATAGCATATTATGCCTGGCAAGGACTCTAGAAAAAAAATCTAATTTGACTGCTGTCATTTTATAGACAAAGAAACATAACCACAAAGAGACTAAATGACTTGTCCAAGCTCACAACACTGAGCTGATGTAGAGACTGGCTGATAAAGATGCTAGGTCTTTCAGCTTTCTATGTAGGCTTTCTTCTATTACACTGGAATGTTGAGTAGAAACCAGATCATTCTAGCATAAAGTAGCACTGGAATTTGTAATACAGAATCGAGATGAAGAATCAGAGGTGTTCCTAGAGAATTCCAATGATTCCATAAGGCCTTCTCCTAAAGTTACAAAAAGGAGATGACCCTGTCAGTACACTCCAGCTTTATGCTATCTACTTCTCTTCACATTATACGCTGGCTTTTAAAATGCACTGATTCAATGTCATGTGTTTTTACTGAATGGCTGTTTCATTGTTATTATGTATGACAAGTATAATGTATTATAGTTTAGACTATGCTTTGCAAAATTTTTATTGTCCATTTTCAGCAATCCAGCAGGGGTGAGTATATAAAGAGAGACAAATAAGTCTTTTTTCAGGTTAAAATGAATCTAAATTCTCTGGTTCTTCATACTTTACACCCACACATGGGACAGGCTTGTTTTTCTATGCCTGTTTTACACGTGCCACTAAAGCAAGATCACAATGTGACTTATTCAAGGTCACTTCAGTTAGTGAGCATTAGGAGGTATAAACTCACAGTTTCTGGTTTGTTCCTTAGGCTGAAAGCAATGCACAAGTCACATTATTAAAAGAGAGTTCAACTTTAAGTATCTGGTGTGAACACTTGCTCTTTCTCCTCCCTCCCTCCTTCCCTTCCTTTCCTATTTCAAATTAAATTATCTTCTTAAAAAGGATCAATTCATAACTTCAACAAGAGATTTTTATGAAATAGGCAATTTCCTAAAGAGTATGTACTTTGGAGTTGGACAGATGTGGGTTTGAAAGACGGCTGGGTAACCTACTAGCTATGTGACGTTGGGCAGTTACCTCATGTTGGTGGGCCTCAATTATTTTCCCTGTAAAATGAGATTGATGATAAAATAGCTAACAGCCATTATTAAGTGCCTATAATGTGCCAGGATTGTATAAAATTTTACATCCATTTCAGTTAATCATCCTAACAGTGCCATATGGGAAAATGAAGTTGAAAGATTGGGGAAGTGGCTTTTCATGGCCACAGGGGAAGTGGCAGAGCTTAGATCTGAACCAAGATCAGCCTGACTCTAGGGCTAGTGCTTTTACCTATTCCTCAATATCTACCTTAATAGGGCTGTTGATGATTAAGTAAGGTAGGTGTGACATGGTTGCACAGGCCTGACACATAAAGAACTTCATCAGTATTAGGTTGAACCACATGAAATTGCTGATATTTGCTCATTTTTAACCTACAAAAATGGCCATTTCATAGGATTCAACCTAGAAGAAGAAGACGATGATGATGAATTCCAATAGGTCAGTCAGGCTCAATGAATACTTTGTGAAAACCAGTAGGAAATGAAAAATGTTTCATTTTCCTGCATGTTTCAAGTATTATTTTTTCACCTGGGTCTTGGAAAGCGGGTTTCCTTCTATTGCTCTTGTGACACTAGGTCGGTGCTATGTAATGACCTGGATATGAATGAGGTCCCTATGAACTTCCCCGTGGACACTGTGAAGCTACGTATAGAGAAGACAGTCATCCGCAGAATCCCGGCAGAGGCCTTCTACTACCTGGTGGAGCTCCAATACCTCTGGGTGACTTACAATTCCGTGGCCAGCCTTGATGCCAGCAGCTTTTACAACCTAAAGCAGCTGCATGAGTTGCGCTTGGATGGAAATTCTCTGGTTGCTTTCCCTTGGGCATCTCTGTTGGACATGCCCCATCTGAGGACCCTGGATTTGCACAACAACAGAATAACCAGTGTGCCAAATGAGGTGGTCAGGTACCTGAAGAACCTTGCCTACTTGGATTTATCAAGCAACAGGCTAACCACACTACCACCAGATTTCCTGGAGAGCTGGTCCCACTTACTTACAACATCATTACGAAGCCTGGACCTTACACCACGAAGAATTATTCTTGGTAAGCTCAGAAGCCTTTGGGCTTCTCAGGTCCAGATAATTTGCTTGGCCTGACTTCAGTAGTCCAGTCTTTTCATATTTATTTAATTTGGCTTCTTATTCTATACTTACACTTTTGATGGGATGGAACTTTATCGGCTGACCTAAGTCGGTTGATCTGTTTACCCCATGTGAGATGAAATGGCTCTGTGTGTGCACTGGAGTGAGGGCAGCAGTGTGTGTGTGTGTGTGTGTGTGTGTGTGTGTGTGTGTGTGTGTGTGTGTGTGTTTTGGAGGAGGGAGGGAGATAGACTCATAAACTGAGAGACTAATGCTGATGTTAGAGAGCCTGGGGCTGAGTGATAAAATCTACCAACCTGCCCTGATTCTGTGAGCACATCAGTCAGTGCTCCATGCTCTGCCATAGCCAACCTGCTCTGTTCTCTTTTCAGCCATTCATTAGGCTCTTCAGGGGTGGAAGAAGGGCACTGGCATATTTATGGCCATTTCATAGGGTTATGAAGTGGCAGTGGTTTTATTAGGGAGAATAGCTTCCAGATTTTTCTTAATCTAAAAAGAAATGATAAAGACAATCTTCTAATGCATTAGTTTAGATGTGATTTGTTTTGTAGACTTTGATCTTGACTTTGTTTAGGTTCTGTGGGTATTTGTCTTGGCTTCTTAAAATGTAGACTCCTTCCGGTAAGTCTCTCTCTTCCTTTTTTTGTCTCTTCCCACAGTGTTTGCATGGTGCTCTGAACATGGCAAATGCCCAGTAAATGTGGTTGCCAGATTGAAATCAGTAGACCTTTCTCAGGGGTACCTGTGGGCAGTGAGGCCTTTCATACTTTTGTGTGAGACAAAAGCCTAAGGCTCTGATCAATCAATCAATTTGATCTACTAAATTCTTGTTCACCCAATAAGGCTGTGTTGTGAGTTCACATGTTACAACCATTGTGGCCACCGAAGAGATTATATTTCTTAGGATGAAAGAACTGAGTGTTTGGCCAGTGAAATGATTTCTAAGCCTTTTGGTGTGAGAAGCAACTTGCTGATAAATTTGTGCCATGAGTTCTAAGTCCTTACTTAATGTCACATGCTCAAACATTTGCTGAAGTAAAGTATAAATGAAATAGAATTTTGAAAAACAATTTTTTGCTAAAAAAGAAAATGCCATGGCAGCAGTTAAATGATTTTAGCATTGCTTTTGTTGAAATATAAATGTATTTTGGTGCTTATGAGACTAAAAGTACGAGTGATAAGAACCACATAGAAAGAGGAAAAATAATGTAATTTTTTGTCATATACCTATTTTATGTTTGCCTACTGCTTATCTAGTGCTTCAGACATTTTTATTAGGGAATAAAAGAAGTATTGTAGGGTGAGTTAGGGGAAAAAACATTAGCTTAATTTTTTTTAAAGATTTTATTTATTCATGGGACAGACACACACACACACACGCACACACACACACACACACACACACAGAGAGAGAGAGAGAGGCAGAGACACAGGCAGAGGGAGAAGCAGGCTCCATGTAGGGAGCCTGACTGGGACTCGACCCCGGGTCTCCAGGCCCAGGCCCTGGACTGAAGGCAGCGATAAACTGCTGACCCACCTGGGGTGCCCTCTATTAGTTTAATTTAATGATAGTTGTGGAGTCCTTCTTATTATGTACACCATGATAGACACCATGTAAACCTATAGTGTAGTACTTATTTACTTTATTTTAGCCACTAATTTAGTCCTTATGATAATAGATAGAAATGGTCTTAATTTATATATTGAGATACTGTTTCTCTACACATTTCTCTAAGTTGCTTTCGATCTATCAAAAGGTGATATATAGTAGGAAATAAAATCAAATTACTGAATTGTTATTAATAGCTTTCTAACGATTAGTTGCTATTATTGCTAATATCACTATAAAGAATTGATTTACACAACATTAATATTTTTCCATTGTGAGTTAAATTTGGATGAAACTTCAGGGATCAGTTGGAGAGGGTTATTGAAATTTCACTGTCCACAGAGATAAACAGCTTTATCTATGTTTTAGGGTTCAGTTTCTTCAAAAGCAGATTCTTTAAAGGGGTAATATGAAAATGCTTTTCGTATAACATTAAATTTAAAAAGCAGGGTGTTCAATGGTATATAATCATAATTATTTTAAAGTGTGCAAAGAAAAAGCCTGAAAAAAATATACTAGCTGGTTAACTGTCCTCTTTGGGTGATGGGATGTCTTTTCAGTATTCTATATTTTGAAAATGTTCTGCATTGATCATGCATTGCTATTATAATAATAATGATAAAATCATGATAATAAATAACAGAGGATATTTTGAAACATGCCGAGATATATGCAGCAGCTGATCTTACCAAAGCCACGCCTGCTATGTAACAAAAGGGAAAAGAAATGCTCTTCTCTAAAGAAGACTGGCTCACATGTGTGAATCACACATAGAAAACTCAGTTTTTTCATCTGCAAAATGGAGGTGGGAGATCTCACTCTCTCTCATTCATAGGATTGTAATGAGAATATTATGAGATATTTTATGTGGCAGTTCTTTAGAATATGAGGTGAACAGTCTCTGAGGTTATGATTTTAGATCAACAATAATCCATAGCAGCTGTGACTGAGATGGGAGTGTCTTATAAAGAAAAACTCCTCTATTTTGGCTTTTTCTGTTACTTTAATTGAGTCTTCCAATTTTGTCATTAAAATATGGTAATGAAAACCAGTTCTAGCTTTTCTAGAACTCAGTGTTTAACTGTAGCAATTGTATCTTTCTAGGTGCCCTGTAAAATTTACTTTTCTATTATTATAGTGGAATATATTGTGCTTTTAATTGTTAGTGTCCTGTGTTTATTATTGTTAGCAGATGAAACTTCTGTTTGTAACAATAATAGTAATAGCTAATATTAATAGAGTGCTTACTCAGGGCCAAAACTATTTCTTATACTTTATATATATATAACTTCTTTCAGTCTTATGTTAACCCTGTACTGTTTCACCCCCATTTTTAAAAAAGATTTTATTTATTTATTCATGAGAGACACACAGAGAGAGGCAGAGACATAGGCAGAGGGAGAAGCAGGTTCCCTGTGGGGAGCCTGATACAGGACTTGATCCCAGGACCCTGAGCCAAAGGCAGATGCTCAACCACTGAGCCACCAGGTGACCCCCACCCTCATTTTATAGAAGAAGAATTGAATCACATATTCAGCCACATGCCCAAATTTACTCATCAGACAGTGATGGAGCTAGGCATGAATACAGTTGTTTGGCTCCAGAGCCCAGGGTATTCCCCACTCCTTTGTAATGTAAAGTATTGTATGTAATAATACCAGAGTTCTTTTTCTTATATATGTATTATTGATCTTTTTAAATCATGTATTTGTTTTTAAAAAATTAGGAAGAGACCTTTCCATTAGTCCTCTTTTCTACATGAGTAAAAATATCAAGTTCATAAAATTGTCCTCTAATATATCATAAAAACATTGTATACTCCCACTAGTGTCCTGCAAGTAAACATTTAAATGAACTATGAAACTACATTGGATTTTCTATTTGTAATACAGGTAAATTTCCATGCCCTCTTTCTCAGGAATAAAGATACATTTACACAGGCAGACTCTGTAAGGACCAACACTCTTTGTCTTGGAAAAAGCTTGCAGTAGGAGAGGGCATAGAATGCTTTTTTGGGTGCTTTTTATTGGTACTCAAATCTTCTCAGTTGCAAACATGAATTTTTTTTCCCATTCAAGATAAAGTTTACCTGGAAGGCAGTGGCCACAGGAGTATTCCCACAAAGTTTTCTAAAATGGCATTAATTTAATTCAACAAACACTCCTCAATCCCTGTTGATATGCTTGTTCTTTTCTAGCCACAGAGGAGATAAAACCACAAACTAAGGTTAACTTCTTACCAGGTGCTCTTCTGAGGACTCCCTAGCAGTATCTCAGCCAGGACAATGCCAGTAAGTGGGTTGTAATTATTACCTGCTTTTTACAGCTGGTGCAGAGGCAGAGTCAAGCTTCAAGTTCAGTCCATCTCCAGAGATATCATTCTTTTGTTTTTTAAGCCTTTTCTTAATTGAGAAGTTGAGGTATAATTTGCACATCATGGATCTTAAGTGTACAGCTTAGTAAGCAATGGCAAATGAATACCCCCATGAAATCCACATCCTCATTCAGATATAGAATAATTTCTTTTAAAAAAATTCATTTAAATTCAATTAATTAACATAAAATGTATTATTGATTTCAGAGGTAGAAGTCAGTGACTCATCAGTCTTATATAACACCCAGTGCTCATTATATCGCATGCCCACCTTAAAGTCCATCACCCAAATACCTCATCCCCCCTCCTAACTCCCCTCAAGCAACCCTCAGTTTGTTTCCTATAGTTAGGAGTCTCTTGTGGTTTGTCTGCTTCTCTGATTTTGTCTTGTTTTATTTTTTCCTCTCTTCCCCTATGATCCTCTGTTTTGTTTCTTAAATACCACTTATGGGTGAGATCATATGATAATTGTCTTTCTCTGATTGACTTACTTCGCTGAGTTTAATACTCTCTAGTTCCATCCATATCATCGCACATGGCAAGATTTCATTTTTTATGGCTGAGTAATATTCTATTGTATATATACATATATACACCACATTTTCTTTATCCATTCTTCTGTTGATGGACATCTGGGCTCTTTCCATAGTTTGGCTGTTGTGGACTTTGCTATTATAAACATTGGGGTCCAAGGATATGGAATAATTTCATCACACTGGAAAGTTAACCTATACCTCTTCTCCTCCACTTCAAGCAACCACTGTTTTTATTTCATCACAATAGGTTAATTTTGTCTGCCCTAGAATTTTATTTAAATAAAATCATGTAAGATGTACCTTTGTGTCTAGCTTCTTTCATTTAGCGTTATTATTTTTTTAAAGATTTTATTTATTTATTCATGAGAGACACACAGAAAGGCAGAGGAATAGGTAGAGGGAGAAGCAGGCTCCCTATGGTGAACCCAATGTGGGACTTGATCCCAGGACCTTGGGATCGTGACCTAAACCAAAGGCAGACGTTCAACCACTGAGCCACGCAAGTGTCCCTGGCATTATTGTTTTTGAGATAACTGCATGTCATTGCATGTTTGGGTAGTTCCTTCTGCTGAGTCTTATTCAGTTTTATGAATATATAAATTGTTCATCCTTTCTCCTATTTTTTGGAAACATGGGGTGTAACCAGTCTTCAGCTATTATGAAGTAAGCTGCTATTAACATTCTTGTGCAGAATGTCAAGCCTTTTGTCAATTATATGTGCTATTAATATTTTCTCTAAATCTGTGATTTATTTATTCATTTTCTTCATGTTGTCTTTGGTAAGAAGGTTTTAAATTTTAAAGACATTTAATTTATCAATTTTTTTTCATTTATAGTTAGTGCTTTGTGTGTCTCATCTAAGAAATATTTGCCTACCTACAGGTCACAGAGATATTCTATTTTCCTTATAGTTTTAACTTTTATATTTGATTTCTGGCCTTATAATTCTTAGCTTTTATGCTTATGACTGTGGCCTATCTCAAAATAGTTTTTGAGTATAGTGTGAAGTAGCGGTTGAGCTTTTTTCCAAACAGATGTCCAGTTGTTCCAGGACCATTTGTTGAAAAGAGTTTACTTTCCTCCTTGGATTGTTAAATGCCACTGCCACCACAAAACTGATTAAGGTATGGTTTTTGCTTTCAAGAACTTATGGTCTGCAGAATTAATTTTGTACAGGAATTTATTGCTGACTCTGCATGAAAAAATAGCACATTTAATTCAACTGCTGTGATGCATGGAAAACATTGTCCTTTTAGAGAAGGAATAAGGCAAAGTTGATTTGTTCCTATCCAAGAATAGTTATATAAACTAAATTAATTAGTGCAAATTACTGTGATTGTGATTGGTGTGCTACCCTGAAGGAATGCAGTACAAAAATAACAGTTTAACTTTAGGGAGTTCTTGTACCTTTGTCCTCAAATTGGGAGAAAAAAAACACTTGATGAATGGGTCAGCACTCAGGTCACTATTATTATTCAGGTTTTAAAAGTTGTGCTTTTGACCTTGATGTTTCAAGGCGAGAATAAACATTATATTTTTGAAGGGTTTAAAAATATTCTCCTGTTCTATATAACTTTTAGACATAACCAGTTGGATTAATTTTTAAAAGAATTTTGTTTCAGGGGTGCTGGGTGGCTCAGTCAATTAAGTGTCCAACTCTTGATTTCAGCTCAGATCATGATCTCAGGGTTGTGAGATGGAGCCCCTGCATTGGCTTCCACACTCAGTGGGAAATCTACTTGAGATTCTCTCTTTCCCTCTGTCCCTTTCCCCACTCACACTCACATGTGCATATACTCTCTCTCCTTCAAATAAATAAATCTTCAAAAAAATTTATTGTTTCACCACTAACACATTTTTATGCCAGTTTCAAAGCATGAATAAAGCTGTTAATGTTATAGAAATGTCCTAGGTAGACATTTGTGCTCCAGACATCATTGCTCTAACATGTGTTTATAGATGACAGCACTTATAGCTGCCACCTATGGCTCTAGATGTTTTTAGGTGATGAAATGAGTTATGGTGGAAGGAATATTAGATTAAGAGTCTGAGATATCTGGGACTTACTCAGGACTCTAAGCTACTTACAGAATCAAGGCAGTAATCTCTTTGTGCTTTAGTGTCCTCTAATGTGATACTTAAAAAATCATACTAGCTTCCTGAGGTCAGTATAAGACATAGAGAGCTTGAGAATGAAAGCTTTAAAATCAGGATATTTAAAATCAGGTTCAAATCCTGACTATATACAGTTGTGTGACCACAGGCAAATCCCTCAGCATCTCTGAGTGTTGGCATTCTCTTTACGATGAGGATGATACTAATATTATCCACCTCATGCTATTGTCAGAATTGAGGTAGACAAATCCTTTAGCATGCTTAGCACTGTTGGAAGATAATTTTTCATAGTCTCTCCCATTTCTGCATGTCTTGTGAGCAGAGGCAGCCACTGATTGCATTTTGTTCTGAACTGTCTTTTTAAGGATGTTTGTGTAGAGAACTGCTTTGGAAGGTAAAGATATGTCTCCCTCCAGAGAAAGTGTAGGCAGGTTTACTGACCAGTATAACAAAGATAATGTCTTCCTCCAGAGCCATAAGCTATCCCCCACTTCTAACCAGGAGTCTGTGTCTTCTGCCAACTGGGAAGTATTGGTCACCCTAAAGTAGGCTAAAACTCAGACCATTTACAATTCTTGGCAAGTACAGTATTTGCCACATAAGAAGCAATCGATAACTGCCAACTTGTTCTATTATTATTTTATAAAGCAAAAATCTAGTATAACAAGTGTTTTGAGAGCATAAAGTTTTATCCACATTATTAATTATTACATGACAGAATGAATTTGATGTTTGCTGGCAAGTTGGATATTAGAGACTGGTCATAGATTCATAGGACTAAATGTAGGAGGAAGAAGTTCAATGTAATTCACCCATGGAAGAAATGAAATTTCTAAGATGGAAAGTACTGGCAGAAAAATATGAACCAATCATGAAATACTATTATAATAAAAATAGACATAAATAGAAATTTATATTAAAAATAGATGTAAATAGACATAAATAGAATTTATGAATGAACAGTTAAATCTTCCAACATGGTTGGAATTTTTAAAAATTGCAGTTCTGTCTTTTCTCTTTCTGAATCAATGTATAATCTACTCCATTAGTAAAAAGCCCCAGCCACGAAACTTTTTGAGATAAATCCCTTGCAACCCTAGGCTTTATGTGAGGTTGCTGTGGGACATGACCCCTAACATCCTTAGAGAGACTTTTGTCTGCCAGAGGCTTTGAAGCACTATCTTAGATCTTTCTGGGATCTTGGCAAATGATGTTATAGTTTCACCCTCCCTGGATTTGATCTTTGTGCTGAAGCCCTTCCTAGTTTGAGAACTTTGGAGAGGCTGGGGGTAAGAAGCAGTTTTATTACTGAACCCAGCAAGCCTTGGTCCTTTTCTATTTAACAGTTCTTCACTTAGGTGCTGTAAGTCCTTTCCATTTTATCATGTGCAGCAAGAAAACGCCAGGTAGCACTTTAAGCTCTCGATCTGGAAATATCCTTAGCGAGAACATTTGTTTCATTGAGGGCACTTTATACTTTTCATGTGACAGTGTTTCTAAACTCTCTGCCACTCGCTAGAGGGGTCTGTTTTTAGGGAGAGAGTACAGATACTTGCCTGTCCAAGTCTGTATCTGACATCACCAAGAGGCTGTGATGTCAACTGAAGTCCACAGAATAACCTTTATCAACCTTTTCCTTCCTTCTGGTTTAGGTCTGCAGGACAACCCTTGGTTCTGTGACTGTCACATTTCCAAAATGATCGAGTTGTCAAAAGTTGCTGACCCTTCTATAGTGCTTCTTGATCCACTGATGATTTGTAGCGAACCTGAGCGCCTGACAGGGATTTTGTTTCAGCGGGCTGAGTTGGAGCAGTGTCTGAAGCCATCAGTTATGACCTCGGCCACCCAGATCACATCTGCTCTGGGTAGTAACGTTCTGCTGCGGTGTGATGCTACTGGCTACCCTACCCCACAGCTCATGTGGACCAGATCTGACAGCTCACCAGTTAATTATACAGGTATTTTCTTAATTCAGGCCTAAAAAACAAGTAGTTCCCAAAGATCTGAATTTAATTTCATGTTTTTGTGTGATTTGAAATTGGCTAGTTAATTCTTTTTATTTTTTAGATTTATTTTTTTACTTTAGAAAGAGAAAGAAAGAGCAGAAAGAGGAACAGAGGGAAAGGAAGAGAGAGTATCCCAACCAGACTTCCTACTGAGTGCAGAGCCTGATCTTGAGATCACAACCTGAGCCATAACCAAGAGTAGGGAGCTCAACCAACTGAACCACCCAGGTGCTCCTGAAATTGGCTAGTTAATTCTAATAAAATATGCCAAGATTGTTTGGTGAAAGGAATTTGAAAGATTCATTTGATTGGTTAATATTTTCCTTAGCTTATCTAACTACATAGACAATCTGATTTCTTTTACTGATAGAAAACAACATGATCCAGTGGATGGATGATTGCAAATAAGGCTCTTGGTCTTGCTTCATAATCTTGGATATGGCTCACTTTAAAATGGATAACTATTACAGTATTCTTAGGAAAGATTTTAATACAAGTTTCTCATTTTTGAATAATTATTTAAATAATAAATTACATGCAAGCCTTATTATGAAACAAAAGGATAATTTTTAGAAATATGGGTTTCATAGACTTTTTAGATCCTACTATGACCAACTCAATGCTTTGGCCTTAGTTTCAATAGTATATTCTTTTTTTTTTTTAAGATTTTATTTGTTTATTCATGAGACACACAGAGACAGAGAGAGGCAGAGACAAAGTCAGAGGGAGAAGCAGGTTCCATTCAGGGAGCCCAAAGTGGGACTTGATCCCAGGATCCCGGGATCACTCCCTGAGCCAAAGACAGATGCTCAACTGCTGAGCTACCCAGGCATCACTCAATAGTGATTTTCTGATGAATTAAAGTGATATATTTTTTAAAAAACTCATTAAAATTAAATGTAAATCAAAGTAAAAGTAATGAAACCTGATGGAATAAGAAATACTCAAGGCCTAATATTCTTACAAATAGTAGATGGCCCACAGTTTGAGGCAGTAAGTTAAATTCTGGGATACTAGGATACTGCTTAGGATATTACTATTCTTCAGAAAGCTTAAAAAATCAAGACAGAATGGTAAAATGTTAGATTTTAGTGTTTAGGAAAGTAAAATTCCAATTCTGCAAAAACTATATATTATTCTACAAATAAAGGAAACCATGGTTTACTGATTTATTTAGATTAAATATAAAATGAAAGACTAAGAATACTAATTATGACTTTTCTATGCCAGAAAATGATCTGCTATGCCATCTGGCTATGTAAATAGATAGCATTGTATTACAATGATAAAATTTTTTGGGAAACATTTAAGTAAGATTTTGTAATAACCATTTCAGAGGACCATAGTGAATTAAAATTCGAGAGCATTGGTCAGGCCACTTTGTCTTATCCCCTTATTTAAAAAATATGGAAACAGAGGCCTAAAGATGCTAATTGTCTTGTCTGAAATCACATACTAATAAGGGGACAAACGTTTACTAAAACCAAGTCTACCAATTCATAGCATTGTGTCTTTTTAAAATACCATTCCCCATACAGACCTCACGGTACTTGGCATGTCCTAGACCTTCATGTAGACAGTTTACAGAACTATGACCTGCCATCAGAGACTTGCAGTGGGCCATTTCCCTCCCTTGATTTATGCAAAAGGGATGCATGTAGATCCAGGTCAGTTGGCATGTTGCTTGAGTTTCTCCTTTTTTTCCCCTCACAGAGTATTTTTCTTAAATAAATATTTTTTAACATTTATTTATTTATTTATTTATTTATTTATTTATTTATTTATTTTTCTTACAGTAATTCAGGAATCTCCAGGGGAAGGAGTCAGATGGTCCATAATAAGCTTGACTGGTATTTCTTACAAGGATGCTGGGGATTACAAATGTAAGGCCAAAAATTTGGCTGGAATGTCAGAAGCTATGGTTACTGTGACAGTGGTTGGTGTTGTCACAACCACCATATCATCAGAGACCTCTGAAAGAACTGGAGATCACCCTGAGGAAGAAGTCCAGCCAAGATCCAGATCTACATCCCCGCCTGGTTCATTGTCACCTTCTTGGCCTTCCTCCTCCCCTGCTTCTTCCATTTTTCTTTCTAATTCTACTCCATCTCCTCCCCCCTCTGCTTTCTTCTCCTTATCTCCTTTCCTCTCCTCTATTGTTTCTTCAACCACAGCTAGAAACACTGGAATTTCAACAAGCCCCACCATGGCCAGCCAGCAGTCACTCCAGTTCCACCCAGATGGGAAAAGAAATTTAAAGGTGGAGTTGGGTGGAAGTCAGCTTCCTTCAGGTAGTGCAAGTAGAAAAGAAGAGTTGGCATTGTTGGATGAAGCAACGCCAGTGGAAACAAATACCACAATAGAGAATCTCAGGGTAGTTGGTGAGACTGAAGAGAGTGTCACATTGATGTGGAACACTGTCAACACCACACAAAAGTCTGAGATGACAGTGTTGTACTCCAAGTATGGTGAAAAGGACCTGCTGCTGCTGAATGCTGACTCCAGCAAGAACCAAGTAACCATAGATGGCTTGGAGCCTGGTAGGCAATACATAGCATGTGTCTGCCCAAAAGGAATACCTCCCCAGAAAGACCAGTGTATTACCTTTTCTACTGACAGAGTTGAAAAGGAAGGTGATTCTCAAGTGTCTTTCCTTGTTGTGGTGAGCGGTACCGCCTGTGTTGTTGTCTTGCCATTGATATTTTTCCTGTTGTACAAACTTTGCAAACTGCAATGTAGGTCAGAATCTTTCTGGGAAGATGACTTGGCAAAAGAAACTTATATCCAATTTGAAACCCTGTCCCCCAGGTCTCAAAGTGTAGGGGAGCTTTGGACGCGAAGGCACAGAGATGATTCAGAAAAATTGCTGCTTTGTTCTAGGTCAAGTGTAGAATCTCAGATGACTTTTAAAAATGAAGGTTTGAGATCAGAGTATTATTGCTAAGATTTTACACATGAACCCCACAAAATTTCTTCCATGCAACTAAGGATTGAGGATATAGTCGGCCTTCTGTTTGGATGACCTTTTGTTCAGACTTTCATTTCCTCTGCGAAAATCACAAATGAAGAGCTTTTAACTGTGGTGTTTTTTTTTTTTTTTAATACCATGTGAGGGGCACCTGGTTTCCTCAGTCAGTAGAGCCTACAACTTTTGATCTTGGAGTTGTAAGCTTAAGTTCAAGCCCCAATTGGATGTAGAGATTACATAAAAACTACCATGGCATTTCTGAATCAAACAAACAAATAGTCTTGATTTTTGTTATGTGGAAGATATCCATAGAAATAGTTTTTAGGATAGTGCTTGATAAATTAATAGTATGTTTTAGGGTAGTGTTTTAGTTTTTCAAAATAAATTCATGTGAGAATAGTTATAAAAAAGTGAAGTCTGAATTTTAAAAATATAGTTTTCTAAGAAGTGAAGAAAGATTAGTATAACCAGCTAAGCCTTGATGTTCATTCATGTTTGAAGTGCTTTATGGCATTTGCTATGGGTATTTACTGTCATTGCCTAGTGGGCAAGAGTGAGAAAGTACAGAATTTTTCATTCACTAAGGTTAAATCCAACTCAGTGGAGAGGGAGGGCTCCAACTCTTGGTACCATTATACATTACAAGACTGTTATGGTTGATTAATATTGCAAGAAAAAAATGTTTTATCCTTAGAAATATAGATATCAGCAAAAAGAAGTTTAAAAAGAGGATCCTGAAAATAGTAAAGCCATTTCTAAAAATAGTAACCATTGCATCCTAATACATTTGCCAACAGACTATATGGATCTTTTTAAAAAAAAATGTTAAAATTTTTTTTAATTTAAAAAATTTAAATTTTGAAAAAAATTTTGAAACAATCTCTTTAATATTGTGATATTTACTTTTCTCTTCTGCTCTGTTTCTCCTTCTCTCCCTCCCCTTTCCTTCCTTCATTTCTTTTTTTTCTCTTTTGCTTTGTCAGGAGATATTCAGGTAGCCATAGGACCACAGCTAAACTGTTTGTCTTTTGCCATGTTATATTTTGATTTCCTGGCTAAAGGGAAGAACTTTGAGTCCTTTTTAGATCTGAAAAAGATGTTTTAGGATTTTTTTGGTCAAATTTTCTATAAAAAACAGAGAAATTGAACTGGAGTGGACATAGGAAAGGGGATTCATACATAAAATTTAGGTTTTTAAAAGAAAAGTTTATCACCACCTTTACTAAAGATTATATTCTCTTTACATTGGAGATTCTGGACTACAGAACAGATTTATAAAGGTGTGTCAGGAGTCCTGAAATATTCTGAATAGCAAGTTCTAAGAAATCCTAAATTTTACATAAGCAATAGATTGACTTCAATGTTACACATTGTGGAAATTATAATACAAGCAACTGGACAATGAAAAATCATTCATTCCAATTGGCTGTTAATTAAATTATAGTTTAGACATATTCTGAGTATTAGAAGGAGACCAGCATGGATGGATGGCCTATCCAGAACTCCCAAATGTCCCTTTCTTGTATAATTTCCTCTCCTCTTTCCTTTCCAACCTGTTTGTCCTTGGTGCTTTCATCACTGAGTGCATTTCTAATCATCTAATAGTTTTAAGTTCAGTATTCATTGTTAAGATGTGTTAGAAAAATATTTTTTACAAACAATTTTGTGCCTAGCTTCAAATTCTGTTGGGTCAACTTAAAAGATCACAAAAACTCACATTTCTTTACTCTAAAGACATCGTGGAATTCACTGCTACATTTAAAAGGTTCATATAGGGGTACCTGGGTGACTCAGTGGTTGAGTGTCTGCCCTCGGCTTAGGTCATGATCCCGGGATCCTGGGATCAAGTCTTGCATCAGGCTCTCTGCAGGGAACCTACTTCTCCCTCTGCTTATGTCTCTGCCTCCCTCTCTATGTCTCTCATGAATACATAAATAAAATCTTTTTTAAAAAAATTAAAGGTTCGTATAAACAGGCTGCCAAAATACTACCACATTAGAAATAATGACTATAGGAAAAGGTCACAGACCTTACCTGAGGTAAGTGGCACCCAAGTTGTACAAAGGCAGGTTATTTGTTAAGAAAGGAGACTTGGCCCACCCTGTTGAGGTAAATTACAGACTGCCTTCATAAGGAAATCAAGTGAGGCCTGCACTTAATTTTGACCAATGAGGAAAATCTAGCTGTGGGTATGGGCGGGAGAAAGCACTTCTGTCATCTTGAACTTGGCCTTGGCCCATGAAGTGAGTCCTAAGTAATGTGTTACTAATTGTGAAAGAACTAAAATAGTAAATTAGCTATTCTCTAAAAATACACATATTTGTATGTTGACAAGGTTATTCTGATGATATCATTGCTCTTACATTCTTACAAGTATACTTTCCTGAGTGGAAGAAAAAGGTTGAGCATTGTGGAATTCTAGATCATCAATAGCCTGTTTATCAATGTCCCCATAAGCATTGTAGAGAGCAATAATAATTGATATATAGCCAATATATGTGACAATTAAATATGACTACAGTGTTTTACTCTCAGACAAGATATATTTGAATTTGTAAAACTTGGGTAAATGATGAGGGTGTGTCACATATGAGACTATCATAAATGATGTGTTCTAACATAAAAAATGTTGAGAACTGCACTTATGATTGCTACAAAAGAGAACCCTGGACTTTAGAGTCAGACAAGTGCTCTGGACTTTGGGGAAACTTTTACAAAATGTTCAAAGACAAAAAGTTTTGACCCACAGACTTGAGTCTCAAAAAGGGATTATGGTTAACAAAGGGAGATTTTATTTTATTTTTTTTTTTTTATTTATTTACGATAGTCACAGAGAGAGAGAGAGAGAGAGGCAGAGACACAGGCAGAGGGAGAAGCAGGCCCCATGCACCGGGAGCCCGACGTGGGATTCGATCCGGGGTCTCCAGGATCGCGCCCTGGGCCAAAGGCAGGCGCCAAACCGCTGCGCCACCCAGGGATCCCCAAAGGGAGATTTTAAAAACCCAAAAACTTTTAAGTGAATAATTGTGGATTTATTTATTTATTTATTTATTTATTTATTTATTTATTTATGATTTTATTTATTTATTCATGAGTGACACACAGAGAGAGGCAGAGACACAGGCAGAGGGAGCAGGCTCCCCGCGGGGAGCCCAGTGCAGGACTTGATCCCAGGACCCCAGGGATCATGACCTGAGCCAAAGGCAGATGCACAACCACTGAGCCACCCAGGTGCCAATTGTGAAATAATTTAAATAAAAAAGGAGACAACTCAGGAAAGTTGAATGGCTGTCTACTAATCTGAATATTTAAATAATACATGTAGAAGATATAAAGAAGGAAGAGTAACCAAAGATGAAGGTAGAGGTGTAGCAAATCTATTATGAAAGTGTTATAAACTAAAGCCCCCAATAAACTGAGCATCAAAATTATGGTAAAGTTAACCAGAAGGAACTGTAAGGGTTTTGTTGTTGTTAAAAAGAAAAAGGAAATAATAAGTATACTGTTTAGAGACGATAAGAAAAAGTTTATCAAAGAAGTAGCAGAATCATTCAACTCCTATTTTTTCTCCTCTTTTCTTTTCTTTTAATATATTTTTTTTAATGATAGTCACAGAGAGAGAGAGGCAGAGACATAGGCAGAGGGAGAAGCAGGCTCCATGCACCGGGAGCCCGACGTGGGATTCGATCCCGGGTCTCCAGGATCGCGCCCTGGGCCAAAGGCAGGCACCAAACCTCTGCGCCACCCAGGGATCCCCTTTCTCCTCTTTTCTAAATGGGTTTTTAAACTGAATATGGAGAAGCAGCTATGAAAAGTGAAAAATTTCAAGATAGATAAGGGATTAGTAAATTAACTCCAAGATATTTTAAAGAGACCAGATAAATTACCAGGGTGGTAATAGAATTTTCAGCCATAATCTCAGAGCTACTGTTTAGTAGTCTTTGAAAAGTCATTAGAAATAGGAGAGATACCATAGACCACAAATGACTGACTAACTTTCATTTTTATTTTTGAAAAGGAAAATAGGGTAGGTTCTGGAAATTATAGGCAGCTTGATATATGCATGAGGAATTGACAACAGATTGATAAAAGGCTTGTTTTTGAGCATGCAGAAATGAATGTTATGGTCATTAGCAGCCAACAAATGCCAACTAAGGAGAAGCTTTAATAAACCAGTATGGCTTATTTTTTATGAGCTTACTGGGCAGATAGATCAAAGGACTGCTTGAAAATCAAATAGTAGCTAGCTATTGTTATTTGTCTTGCCTTAATGGAGTAATAAGTGTTGTTTCCTCTCAAGAATGTCTAGTAATGGCTTTAAATAACACAAGAAAGTGTTTGTTACGATACCTTTCCTCTATTTAGCATTTTTGTAAATGACTAGATGAACATAGACTTCTCAACTCTGCAGAGGACATGAAAATAGGGTATCTTATGTTGGTGCTTCTCAAATTTTCCACAGACTATTCCTAATGGAAGGGGAAAGTAAACATGTACATCTGAGAAACCAGGGCAATTATCCTAGTGGGCTGCCAAAAGAGAGACATTTCTCTGAATTATTTTGTCTTAATTAAAAACCATGTGACTTTCCACTCTATTTCAAGATTTTTAAAAATATAAATCTGTCTAATCAATTTCTTTTCTTCTTCTTCTTCTTCTTCTTCTTCTTCTTCCTCTTCCTCTTCTTTTTTGTAAAAATTGACATCTCTGTGCCTTTGAATACTTTGGCACATATTCCCCAGGGGTGCTCTGCTTATCTTCATCCAAGTCAATCATAAAAACCTCAAATAGAATAGGGTAAAAAACCAGAGAACTATCACTCTCTATTAGAGGCTACTTCATTCTGAATAAAGCCATCAATGAATGCATTTATATGATAAATAAGACACTAAATCTTGAAAAGGATCTTAATAAGATGGCATATTAACAGAATTAAATCTAACAGAAATAAATACAAAATTTTGCATTTAAGTTAGTACAGATATCGGTTGGTGTTCAAGTGATAAAAAAATCCATGACTTATGATTTTTAATTTAGATTTAGAATGATTCCAATCATCCTAAGAACCAACAGAGTTATGTAATTGCTAAGTATAGTAGCATTAAATTAATATAAGTAATAGTTAGATCAAGAAAAGTATCAGTCTCTCCATGTTC